GGAGGCACCTATCACTTCTATGGGGACTCCATTGTCAGAATGGTGTTTCTCGCCCTCATCATCATACTCAAGGGAGATAAGCAATACGGAGGACTTCGACCCGATGCACCTATAGGTATGTATCTAACTGGTCTTACTCAATTTTACAACAAAAAAATAACGAGAAACGAATGCTTGTTTACATCATGGTTAAATCCAATTTCTGGTTGATACATTTGTTTAAAAATTGAACTTAAGTCAATGTGCACACGTCATATTTTGTTACAGATATTAAAAAAGCATGTTCTGGGATGTCATGTTTCCAACACGGAACTGTCGAGCGTTTTTGGACTATTCCCCGACACTCTGCAACGGGACAGTAACAGTGGTGTTCCGACATTATCCACAGAGTCAGGACGTTCCAATGATGAGGCGAGATGTCAAGGAAATTCTGGGACAACCAAAATCTATCATCTTCTTCGGAGCTGGCGTATGGCAGCATTTTGATAGGTTGGACACGAAAATATATGCCTTGGCTGTAATCAGCTTACTTCAGGGCAACAGTCGATTGTGGCCACAATTGATATGGTCAGGCTTTCATTCTTTCGGACTCTGGCATAGACATGTTGTACCAACATCTGATAATGCTCACGTTGAACCCTTCAACAGCTATATGGAGGACCTGGTGGGAGCGTTCAATGTACCCGTGTTTGATACCTTCAACATGACTAAAGGAGTGAGGAGTGTGGATGGCACGCACTATGGCCCCGGGGTCAACTTTGTTAAAGCTCAGATATTCTTGAATTATATATTGGAGTTAAAACGACAAGGGACGTGGAAATGACATATGTTTTAGGAATAGTTTCAGCTTAGCGTCCCGTGGCAAAAGGGACACTCAGTGTATTCCATACTCGCTGGAAGAGCCTACACTGTAGACTGGATGCCTTTATCTGCTTGATTGAGTGGTGCTCTACCACTAATCTGGTTTGTCAGTTTTTGTATTATTCAAGTCTGACATGATGTTATTTGCTAAGTGCAGAATGATAAACAATCAGTCGGTCACGTGGAATTATTTTGTAACGGTATGACACCACTGACCCTTTAGGTTGGTTAAAGCGTTCGCTCATCACGTCGAAAACCCAGGTTCGATTCCCAACATGGGTACAATGTGTGAAACCCCCGGTGTGATATTGCTGTAATATTGCTAAAAGCTGTGTAAAACCATACTCAGTTACTCACTCATTGACCCTTTTAAGTTAATGACATATTTGTGTTAAATGTGTAGTAAGTTTGGTCTGTGTACTTGCCTACCTATCAGTCCTTTGTTTCGCAGCTTTACGACACCATATTTATAGTCACTGGCAGTGTCCACATTCGTTGTAATTTGTGTACACTTGAAGTCATCACATGGGCACAATGCAACAGTTCCAAGTTAATCAGGTGCAGGTGGGAAACCAATGTCAGGTGTCCAATGCCATGTCGTTCCTTGATTATATCATGCAATTCAAAATACCCAGATGTTTCAATGTTTCCAAATTGGACGGAAATTCTGCTTAATATGTTCAGTGGACCCACGCCGTATCCTCCCAAATCCTCCTTCCGGCAGGGCCCTTAATCCACTTTTCTCTCTTGGAATAACATTTCATACTCAAACTGGTCACTTGATCTTACACATGTGTATTGACTTTGTTCAAGAAACGTACGACACGTTATGAGTGAGTGAGTTGGGTTTAAAGCCGCTTTTAATATTATTCCAGTTATATCATGTAGTTTTATACATTTGGTGATTGCATGTAATTAGCTATTTCATATATTTAGTGAGTGAGTGAGTTTTTTTAAGGGTATTCCAGTTATATCACGGCATATCAGCTTAATGTCGGAGGAAAGCCAGAAGTGATGCAAGTCTCAGACGTTTACAAATTTGATGAAACCCAAGAGCACGGGTATGGTGCTGACAAACCTAGGAACATAATCCGGACGCACAGGGATTCGAACCCACAATCATAGGTTTCTGGCGTGCCAAAGGGACGCAACACTGCACAGCGAATCGTAGCGCCTGAAACGATTGGGCTACCCGTGCCCCTGATGTTATACATATTTAGTTTGTACCAATGGTTTGTCTGTCTGAGAGAAATAAACACTATGATCATGCAGTGTCATAATCTCATTGATATGAAGCTACAGGACAACAATGTTTCGAATGTTGTAAACAGTTCCATGCAAATTTCCCAAAACACAACAGATGGTAATGATATATATATGCATACATGCATAGATCTAAATATGCAACAGAAAAGGTGGTTTCACTGGTCGCTTTTATTCCAAGCTAAGGTGTGAGAGGATTATTCAACTATTACATTTTATGAAATGATATAGGATCACCTATATATCTGATGCTTAAGTTACACTTCTTGGCCAAATTTGGCGACGCGTATGTATAAGGATCAAAAATAGATTAGAGGGACATTTAGTGCCTATTGGTGTCCCTACTTTGTGCCTAAATGCACCAGACCAAAACATGGCAGACATGTTAGCAATAAGAAAGGCCAGAATCGTACACGTTTTGGTTTTTTTCTATGTGGAGGTGCGATAACTTATATTACTTTATTTTCATTCATGACAAACTGACCTAAAATGATAATGATAGAACATTACTGTATATGACCCCCTCGTGTAATTGTTTATCGCGTGTGATAGCGAGGGGCACATTTGAGGAAGGAAATGTTTTGACAGAAATGGACCACTTTCTGAGATGGAGAACATTAAAAGGTATCAGTTTTAAAATGACATATAACCTGGAACTTTGGACCAAAACATCAGCTCTTTACAAAGTAATTGACAGGTACACAGAATCTTCTTAAGAAACAAAGAAGATAGTAAATTAGGGAGCATTGCTTGTTTGATAGTGTAGATTATCTATTTTTAAGGAACTAGTTTATACAAATACTTTGGGGTGGGATAAGAGGAGGGGAATAAGACGACACATTTCAAGATGCGTGCCAACATTAATATGCTTAAGATGGCATGTAACCTGATGTATAATATATGAACGTTTATGACCGAGTGTGATAGAACAATTTTGAAACCAAAAACTGAATCAGAAGATTCACTGTTAATTGACTTACTACTCGTTTTTTGACGATTATGCATCTCATTCTAATTATGACGACTTCGAAAATATGTTTGTATTTATTTCTTTAATCGTCATAAACTCGTAGTATAAAAGGGTAAAAAACCTGTTCATGTCAGCACTTGAGTTATGGTAAAACGACCTTTTAGTAGGCGTAGAAACCTCTGATTTCAAACATGTTCTTTTTCCGGAAGTATGAAAAAAAAAATAAGACATGATGGCTGAGATAGAAAGAGAAGCGTCCGTAATATATTGACTCGTCGGGGCAAGGCAACACTTGCCTGGTCCACAGCCACCTCATAACAAACAGACGCCTGGCGCTCGGCATTACGAGGATGAAACATGGACTTGTTTGCTCGGAGTGGGTATACCGTGTCTGAGTGGGATGTCTATATTAATCTGAGGCATAGCAACTTAGTGAGCTGCGCGTAACACAAGCAGCCACAAACTTCCCCACACACATGTGCGATAAACTTGAAGGCAACGTTGGACCCCATTTTGCTTCACATCATCTAGGATGCCACATTTAAACGGGTTCCTATGTAGTTCTTGGTGATTCGTTTAAATGAAGCATAATCACGTTTAAACAACTAATACTTTTGATGCGACGCATGATCAGGTTTTGTGAATGCATGCACCGTTATTATGGGCAGGCAGCCAACGAGTGTGTCCTTTCTGCTTCATCAGGTCAGTGAAGGAATATAACAAAACAAGCCTTTAATTGCCACAACACATTAAAGAATTGTCCTTCATGAAACCTGGATCCTCAAGAAATGATCTTAACAACACGAAACTGCAAAACATTGCCAAAGATTGAGGTCTGACAAGTCAAAACGGATCCTGTGCATATATATTTAATAGACAGTGTCTGGATATACACTGAAAGGTTTATGAGAAACGGAATGCTTGTTCTGCCTCATCTGGTATTTGTGCTGCGATTTCTGTATCTGGTGTTTGGATGATTATTTTCAGACAGTGGTGTGGGCAATATGTGGTAAAACGGTTAATCATATGAATTACATACAGTTGTTTGATGGAGTGTATTAATTGTAGACACTATAAACATCGTTCAAACAAGACATTTCTTTTATTTGTTTAATTCAAAACTGTCCCATCTACAAATCGTAGTATTGCATATGCTCCCAAAACAGTTAAAGTGTTTTGCTGAATCAAGTCCATATTGGGTGATAGATTACGTTTACATAACATAAATTGAATTGAAACAGTTCTCTTTGAAATCGAAACACACGTAGCACAATGTCCTCGTGAAAATAATATTTTAGTAAACAATAAATTTCATTGTATCATATTGAATTATCTAAATATTATCTCAACATCTGATCAACACATTCATCTGACATATGCGAGGAACAGGGCCATACAAAAAGTAAAACAATGAAACATTTAATATATATTTAAAATATGTATATGTCATTGACTGTATGTTAGGAATATTTCACATCACATATGCAACAAGCAATGTGATTGAAACAATAACACTGTAAAACCATGAAAGTGAAGAGAACATATCCAGGGAATATGTATATTTATGTTCGTAGGTTCTGCACATTCTGAGGGCTAATTTACATATATTACAACAACATGTATTTACACACAGATCGGACATTTTCGTACGCCCATTGTGTAAGAGGTTAAACATTATTTCATAATATTCACATTCATGATTGAAATGTCTTCGACATACATGTAACTGAAATTTAATATTCATACAATATTTTTATTTCTTCTTTCTTTGATCATGGTCATCTACTTGCTGTTGTCCCATCGAGCCAGAGTAAGGACACATCATACTATGTGTAAGACCAGAGAGATATCTCCCGTCACAGACACACGTAGCCATCATCACTTTCATAGCCATGTACAGCCATACGGTACAAGAAGCTTGATGTTATGTGACACCCTTCGGAGACACATGTAGCCATCATCACTTTGATAGCCATGTACAGCCATACGGTACAAGAAGCTAGATGTTATGTGACACCCGTGGTTCAGGTCAGGATACTTTCTGTTCTATGTTTTCAGCTTGGGCATTTGGGCAGTAGTGACTCCTGAGTTGTTTCAGTGGTGTAACAATCTGATCTTCTTAGTGGAAGAGTGAATGAGTGAGTTAAGATTTAACGTCACATAGGCAATATCTTAGTGGGAGTAAACACTTTGCCAAAACATGATTTCGTCATTCGAGTCTATGGCTTGGCCATCCTGGCTGGTTCCAGTTGATCCATGTGTTCTATGATTTGTCTGCTTCCTGCTTCACGAGCGAGACCCAACACATCATTCCCTGCGTTGTCAACCAGTGACAAGTCTGCGCCTCTTCTTCTGAGATATTCAAACACTGTATCTTTGTTGTATACTGCTGACGTCATGACAGGTGTCAAGCCAGCCTTGTCTTTAGTGTTGATGTCAACAGAGTCTATGATGTATTTCACTATATGAAGCTGACCATGCTGAGTAGCAAGATGAAGAAGAGTGTGTCCATCCTTGTCTACCAGAGTTTGGTCAGCTTTATGAGATACCAGGAATTTGTACACAACAACATGGCCTCCACACACTGCCCTCATCAGTGGAGTCTGATCATTTCTGCCTCTGGTGTTGATGTCAAATTTGCCAATCACCGCCTTGACAATGGCTACATTACCACCTTGACAGGCTGCATGAAGAACAGTATCATTATCAGGGGCAGTCAGTGATGGATTACCTCCTCTTGTTGCAATCAGGTCATAAGCATCTTTCTTTCCACCGACAGCTGCCATCATTATTGTCGTCCATCCGTCTTTTCGCGAATTTTTAATGTCAAACTTGGTCAGGAGATACTTTATGATGAACTGATTTCCACCCTGACAACCAAGATGCAGTAAATTGTTCCCAGAATCATCAAGCAGTTTTAGCATAGCTTTTTGTGACACAAGCAAATTGAACACATGCCTCTGTCCAGACCTAGCTGCATACATCACTGGTGTCAAGCCTTTCTGTCCCTTCGTATTAATGTCCAATATCTTCAGAAGTGATTCCACAATGGCTGTGTTCCCTCCTCGACATGCCAGATGTAGAGCATTGTCTGTGTTGTCATCAATCAAAGTGAGATCAGCCTTCTTCCTCACAAGCAAATCGAACACATCCCTCTGTCCCGCCCATGCTGCAACCATAACTGGTGTCCGCCCTTTGTTTCCCTTACTGTTAATGTCACACATCAACAGCAAACATTCCACCATGGCGGTATTTCCACCATGACATGCCAAATGCAGGACATTGTCAAGATTGTCTTTGGACAGTGGCACATCATCTTTCTCTGAGAAAAGTAGGTTGAACACTTCTATCTTCCCAGCCCAAGCTGCATTCATAAGTGTTGTCCACCCATGTCTTCCAGGAGCATTGCTGTCAAACTTTGGCATCAGATATTTCACAATGGAACGATTCCCACCCTGACACGCAAGGTGCAAGACTGTGTCTTTATAATCATCAGTCAGTGTGATATCGGCCTTCTTTGTCAACAGTAGTTTGAAAAGAGCTGGTTTTGAAAGCAAAGCTGCAATCATTATAGCTGTTCTCCCATGGTTTCCCAGACAATTGATGTCTGTCCCTGACAATAGATGTTTCACAATGGAAATATTTCCACCTATACATGCTAAATGGAATACATAATTGTTGTAGTCATCCCTCAGTGTGAGATTAGCCCCCCGTGACACAAGCAGGTGGAACACACCCTCTACTCCACTGGCAGCTGCACACATCACTGGCGTCCATCCGTTGTTTCCCCGACTGTTGATGTCAAACTTTGGCAGTAACAGTTGAACAATGGAGACATTTCCCCCATGACATGCAAGATGGAGGAGATTGTTGTTGTTGTCATCAGTAAGTGTGAGGTCCGCCTCCAGGGTATTCAGGATGTTGAATGCATCTATCTTTCCATTTACAGATGCCTTCATCACTGGTGTCAAGTCATGTTTTCCCCGACTATTGATGTCAAACATTGGCACGATTTGCTCTATGAGGGATACATCATCAACGTGGCAAGCCAAATGAAGGACACTGTTGTTGTCATGATCAGTCAGTGTGGTGTCAGCTTTGTTTGACACAAGAAGGTCGAACGTTGCCTTCTTTCCAGACAATACTGCAGACATTACTGGGGTCTGTCCATTGTTGCCCCGACTATTTATAACTGTGTGGGGGAGCAGACCGTCTACAGTGGACATGGTTCCAAAGCGACATGCAAGATGAAGCACAGTGTCGTTGTTGCTATCTCTTAAGGTTAAATCTAGTTTGTGTCTTTTCATGATCTCAAACTTCTTCTTTTCTTTGATAAGATAGTCTAAGGCAACTTCATCCCCAAAGACCACTGCACACATAATTGGCGTCCAATAATTATGTATTCCTCGAGCATTAACCAAATCAGCATGAAGTGTCCTTACTTCCCTGTTTACACGTTTTACAGTGGGCCCATGTCCATGTTGACACGCCAAATGCAATACATTGTAGTTGCTGATATCACATAAAGTAATGTCAGCTTTGTGTTTCACAAGGATGTCCAAACAGTCTATCTGTCCAGACACAACTGCATACATCACTGGTGTCCAGCCACTCAACCCACGCCTATTGATGTCACAGTGAGGAAGAAGTCGCTCTAGGATATACTTCTTCCCAGTGAAACAGGCGTAAAGGAGAATGTTGTCCTTGGCATCATCAGACAAGGTAGCTCGATCCGTGATCATCTGTGATAATATGTCAGCTGTATCTTGCCTTTTCCATATGGGGTGCCACATGTATGTACTGAAAGCACCACCGAAAACAGCTGCAGCCATTCTGGCAACAAGTGTTCCTGAGAAAGAAACGTTGGCTTGCTGAACTTGCACATGATCTAAGAGGAACTTAATACTGCAATGTGTTAGTGTAAACTCTGGTGCAATACTGAATAAGACAGAAGCGCAAACATCATAAATTACAGAATGGGAAAATGTTGCCATGTTTCCTCCTGTCAAAAATGTACCACAAAAACTCCTGATAGACTTCACAACATCTTGTCTTGCTGATGTCTTCACAATACGTGTAACGTCTTTGAAGTGGGCCTCTAGTTTTGGGTCACATTCAGTCTCCAGCTGGCGGATGTCCAGATGGCCGTCACACAGTAACAGCAGGATGAGAGCTGCTGACTTTTGATCCAATAGGCTCATAATCGTAAGAAGTTGATGTTTTATACAAACAACAGGGTCCTCGAAAAACAGTTCATGATGTGTGTGAAAGCCAGAATATCTTGCAAAAAGTTTGCATACAAGAGGAAAACCGACAGTTGTTTCTTCGCATGAAATAATTTTGTTCACATCAACTTCTGCTCTACTTGTATACAGACATCTGTATTTCCGCCACAAAGCTTCCTTTTCCTCACGTGTAAAACCTAGTCTGACATGTGATGAGCTTTGGAAAACACGTTGGTCTTCCAGTTTTGACATTGCCCACTCAAGACTGTCGGTTTCTGCAGTGAATATGAGCAATATGTTTCGTTGACTGACTTTTCTCTGGTCCTCACTTGGTTCTTGTTGCAGGCACTCGTACCGTCTTTCAGCCCTTCCACCACACTGTTCCAGGAGCACTTGAAGGTCATACAATAAGTGCTTAAGACTGAACAGATCCGTGTATGATCTGACTGCCTTAAACATGTCATCAAATATGACACACACGTCTTCATCTTTATCCATATAATCAGACAACTGTACTTTATCAACATCCTCAACCAGCACCAGCTCATACCCCTGCCACCTGTATTCATCTCCCAGCATCAGGGCCATGGATGTTTTACCAGATCCTGGAGCGCCGCTTATTGTCACATGGCCAAACGTCTCCAGTTTTTCTTTCACCTTCTTGAAAGTCTCAGTTTCAACATATGCCTTTTTGATATCCTTTATCACCTCTTCTTGATCATCTGATAAGGTACATAAACTTGTTTAAACAATGATAAGTTCATCATCACCAGTTATCTATGTTCCATTGTTATGCCCGATAAATATGTTTTTTTATACCTACATCTACAAGACACATATTTAAAAGACAGTTATATGTAATCAGTTTAATTTAATTCACCAGACTCCCCTGGGTACAAATGTACTGCATGCTCGTGCACACGCAAGCATGAAGGATATACATGAAAACATATTTCTCATACATATACCAATTGCGAGAACAACTATTATGTTCTTACCAGATAACAGGTTTACATCGTCCACAAAACTGCAGATGGAATCATCGTCTCTTTTGGATGCTGATCAAATAGTTAAAACAATTGTGTTAAAAGATTATTCACAGTAAAACACATTGCAATACGTACGCAGATTGATGATTGACTGCACGACTCACTGATCTAGGCGAATTTAGAAAAGTTATACATTGCAACATTAATGCTTGCTGAAAATAATATCACTTCACTTAAATGCAATGACCAATATTCAAAGATAACACTTACGAAGTTCTTAATATATCGTATACATTGTGGCTGTTCAGTGTATTGGGTTGCCATACACATATTACGGAACTTATGATCTATACATAATTATTCCTGTCAAATAGTACTGTCTGTATGTACAGTGATTGTATTGATTATCTCCTTTTCATCACATACACTGTTATATATTTCACACTCACTGGCAAAGGCTTCTCCACCTCGCTCTGTAAAGAACGGCTCTAAAACATAGAATATATGATCGTCAGATCAAGAATAATTAACTACTTTGGACTGTCAAATCTGTTTTGTAAACTTTCCTGTAACGCAGAAAGGTAATTATTATATCAGCAGCATTCGAATTATAAAACGTACGGGCATAAGTACACCCTGGCATTAAACTAACGTCAATATTGCCAACACGAGTTACCCTTATTCACACACAATATGTACCCACTATTCGAATTGATAGTATGTATCCAAATAACTAAATTTCAAATTAAATAATAAAGTTAAGAATTGTATGAGCACATGTGACCGTTTATCTGTTGTAATTTCAAGCTGGCTGTTATGAAACACTATAATGAAATATGGAGTATGGTAATACCAGCTCAAACAGATAATCTCAACATGAGTTGATAAAAGTGGGAAAACTCCGAGGCTTGCAGATGAGTTTTGTCACTTTTATCCCCGACTGTTGATATATTTGATATATTTGATTAGCAGAACATCATTCTTCCAACTTTTTCAGTTTGTAGACAGCAATAAGCACTGTCTCATCGTAAAAAAAGTACTGCTAACAGTTTCAGTAGCAGCGCCATTAGCGATGTCATTTGATTGTGACATCATCGTAACCAATGACACCACAGTGGTATGTAAAAATTGTGATGCAATTTCATTGCAGCGGTATTTACAGTGTAGATCTCACCCAATGATATCTCGCATGGGAGCCAGTTTTGGATGATAAATGATAATTTGCTCTTGACAACGAATTGCATAATGTTCATGTCTGTGATTCGTACTCTGAATCGAGGACGAAATTCATTGTAAAGTATCCTAGTAAATGTCATACATCACAACACTGTATTTCTATCATTCAAGGTAAAAACAATGTTTAGTTCCATATTAGTTAAGTACATAAGGATCACCCAATTGTAAATGGATATGAAATGTGCATGCATAATCATTCTTTTATAGGTATCAAGTTGGGTCCTTAGGCCTTTTACTGAAGGAAACTGCCTGCCTTACTGATGAAAGTCTCAGTGTGTGTCAAACAACGTTTATTGTGGTCTGTAAAATGCCTACTATGAACACAGCCTATCTGAGAAAAAGACTGGATGATCCAAAAAGCCGGTGCAATCATATTTTTTTCTTTGTTTGACTTGGGCAATTCTCATATATTCAGACAAATATGAAAATAGTGTGGCTTTTCGTTGAATATAAGATGACAAATGTGTTTACTTACCTTCTTCATCAGCACTATGAATGAAACAAAAAAATATACATTGGAAGCAATTACATCAAATGTATGAATCAGCTGATACTCAATAGACCAAGCAATGAAGCGAATATGACATCATATTTGCATTATGTTTTATTTTGATAATTGCTTAACTGCACATGGGCGTACTTAATGATGATGACACACGTTATATTTTTGTGTTACCTGCTAGCTGTATTAGTTCTTCTCCAGCGTGGAATTATAGCTGCCAGTGCATCGCGAATTCGTCTGGTTTTTCGCTTTTTTCGTTTTCGCCTTTAACAGATCATCAAATACAAATGCAGCTATAGTTACTTACTAACTGTAAAATCAAAACTGTGTCACATTGCAGCTCAATGTTTAGAAGTCCTTGAAGAAACCCAAAGATAATACAATTCTTTATGTAACCCAACTATATAATCCTCCATACCACGATATCATACGATATATTTTGCAGAATTATGTACCTAAAAAATTCGATATATTTAATTTAATATCATACACAAATATGAAATTTTGGAGCTCGATATTCACATGTTGTCTTTGTACAAAGGCACTGAAAACTATTCATTGTCATGTCCCATAAGACTTTTGGAGCTCGGTCGTCTCATCTTGTCGTGTAACAAAGGCATTGAAAACTGTTCATTGTCATGTAACAACAGGCCACAAGGTTGTGTTGAACTCAATATATCGTGTGACCGCCCCTTGCAACAATCACGGCTCTGCATCTCCTCAGCAATGACTGGATAAGTGCACGAATTCTGTCCTGTGGAATTCTGCTTGTAACGCATTGGAAAGTTGTGGGAGTGTCTGCGGCGTGTTCTGACGTTGACACGTCGATCGAGATGGAGTTCATACTCAAGTTGTTCGATTGGGCTCAGATTGGAGATTTCGACGGCCAGGGCAAAACGTTGATGTTGGCATTATGAAGCGTTGTCCTGTGGAAACAGATCCCTCTGGCGGTCAAAGATTGGAAGAAGGTGAAGTTGAATAATTTAATTCATTTAGCGATATGCTGTCAAATTGCCCACCAAGTCAGGCCTCCCACACTATGACACTGCCGACACTGAAATTGTCGAACTCGCCTACACAATGTTGAGAAAAACCCTCATTTCGACGACGATAAACACGTTGTCTTCCATCTGGCCACTGCCGAAGAATTCGTGATTCATCGCTAAACCACACATGTCTCCACTTTCTAAAAAAAAGTCTGTAAGGTATGGCACCAATGCAAGCGTCACTGTTGATGGATCTGTTGCAAAACAGGGACGATAAATGGCCATCTAGGTCGGATTCCACCCTCGCAAAGATGGTTCCTGACAGTCTGGTCCTAAGCAGGAGCTTTTGACGATTTATCAACCCCGTCCTAAGTGTTCACACACTTCATAGATGTCAGAAATCATTAGTTGCCAGTTGACCTGACCTGACCTGACCTGAGTAGTGTCATCTTTGTTTACTTAAGTGATTATGTTGGCAAAGAAAACAGTGTTATATACATATCTTCATGTACATTGATTAATAACCAGAAACTTTAACACCTGGAGTCAGGTACACACTTACAGTATGAACACCACCACAGCGAGGACAGCAACCAGGATGAGGAACACAGGGACAAGTATCGCAGCGAGGTCCAGTGTTTTCTCTGTCGGCGTTGTGTCTGTTACAAAATAGAGACGCAAATATAAAATCAGTAATATCAAGCAAATATGATTCTCAACATTATGTTGAGTCTTAGTTTGTGTGTTGTACTCACGTGTGCTGTGTTCCCTGGGAGGTGTTGCCGACGTGCCTGTGCAGACACAAATACATTCAGTGTTACTCATTTACAGCTTATGCAAGAAACACAAAAAAGATGAAGCAATAACTATCATATAAGATATTGTCAACATTATCTTTTCATACCCAAGTCTTAGTTTGCGTTTTGTACTCACGTGTGCTGTATTCCCTGGGAGGTGTCCTCGAAGTGCCTGTGCAGATGCATTTTTTTAAATCATCGTTATTCATGTCTTTTATTCACAGCTATTCTATACACCCCTTTGAACAGATAACCTTCTTTCCGTTTCATATTATTACATTCGCATATTCATCGTTTGATACAATAAAGGTACTTAAAAACATTTATGACACATGACTGTACGCAACATTAACTTCATCTGACATATCACAGTAGGATATATAATTCTGTGGCAAATATACCATTGTTTGGAGGTCGTACCTGATCTGATCAGTTTACATTCTGATAATGACATCAGAAACAAATTAATGCGAATAAATAAGGATTACACATTCGAGTAAGGATACAAGCTAGACTTCATATTTGGTCATATGATATTTCTCAGGTAACATCCAACAAATCAACAAGTTTGTATCCATTGCAATTTATACTAATTGCATGCTTTTGTGATAACATTCAACCGTATATTTACATAATATCTACCCAAGGTTCGGTTCAATAAGTTATCTTTGTTCAGAGACAATCACAAATAATATGGTGAGAATGTTAAACATCTTAAGAATACCTATGACATGGTCAATATTGAATCAGATGTTTTCAGTTTAAATGTGGCAATAATATCCCAAAACAGAAACAGAACGTTGATAACACAGATCAGCAGAAACTATTACAGATTTGAATCAATTTGTTGTCAAACCTGGAATAATGTTACAGAAGTCCCCTGTGTAGTTTCCACTACATCCAAACGTGCAGATGCCATTTTGGCGATTACAGGTGTTTCTCAAGCAGTTCCTGGTACAAGCGTGGTCACAGAGATCCTCAAACCACCCCGGCACACACCCCTCCGAGCACTTCCCTGTCTCCTTGTGGCAGTGTCTGAGGTTTCGTACTGGGTCAGAGATGCAGGTCAAAGGGCAATCTTTGTCGCACTTGTCTCCATATTTCCCCCATCCACAGCTGTCTTCTCCGTATGCTTCAACTACTAAATGTTGAATAGAAACAATTTATTGAATGTGGTCAAACGGGATCCTCCAAAGGCGTGTTATTGTATCACTAAGCCTCATTTTAAGGAAACATAATGGTAAAATAAAACTACAGCTTGGCACTTATAATATAAACTGTGTATTGCATATTTATATTTGCTCTACCTTACATCATACTGAAATGTGATGAAATCAATAAATCAGTTTCTTCTGTTATTTTAAGTTAGGGAACATGATGCCTCTACACTGAGTGAATATTGTTGCAGGAGGGTACTGTCTGTGCATTCATGTGTTTCTACCCATATATTGATCATGGTTTTATCAAATGGTTCCCTGATATTTTCTTTTTTCATTTTGATTCCCTAAACGAGCAAACAATTCAAACATCTATATTGCTATAATAGTTATACAATTAGAACTAGGAATGCATGAATATACGACTGAATGTCGCTTTTCATGTGTCATTAAGCCCAATTGAAAACCACTATAGTTAGTACGTTATGTTCATTTGGTTTGAGATGTAATCGGATTCAGACGACGGGTATTAAGATACATACACAAAACAAGTCGACATAATCAATACATGTATGCTATGTGAAAGTGTTGTTAGGCCTGTCGTGGCTGTTCAGAATATGTCAGTTATAACTCAACTGTTGGCCTCGTAAAGGGAGAAGCTCAGAGTGGAATACATTGTAAATGTCAACCACTTCTTGAAGTAAAAGGTCCTTGAGGAAAGTCAATGAAGAGCCTACACTCACACACATGATGTCCCCACTGAACTGTTAATGTTACCAGGAGGAGGGTCATATTATGACGATAGGGAATGAACTTGCCAGGTGTGCTTGGTTTCACAAATTCAAGAATAGTCAGCAAGTCGTCTTACATTTGATTGTCAATGCAAACATGTAAGCGTCCGAAATTGTGACATTGTAAGGGTGATATTAAAATATTATAACTACAAAACAATATTAGTCTCCAAATACTCACTGAGTATCAGCAGAGCTAGGTAATGTATCTGCATGGTTTGGGCGGACTCGACACTGTAGAGCCTGCAAAAAATAGGCTGTTAATTGGTTTTAGATTATAATACAATGTGCGCTTGGCATCAATTATTTCTTGGCAACTGTTAAGTCAGTCAGCACCGTGGGATGTTTTTTTTCTCTGGGTACACTTGCACTAACTGTGTGTGGTTTTAGAGAGATTAGACACGTCGCGGATGTGTAACATATTGTGAACTTATAGCAGTGTCTGGTAAATTATAAGAGTGAAATTGACACCATTTGTTGAACAGTATATAACCTGCGAAATCACCACAGTTACACAAGAGGTTCATAAAAACAAAGAGGACACAACTCAAAAATACAGCATTGAAGTAAACATTACAGGCTGCAAATTCCGGCTAAAACAAAATCAACATTCGAATTATAAAACGTAGGAACATAAGTACATCCTGGCATTAAACTAACGTCAATATTGCCAACACGTGTTATGGCTTGTGATGTTGGTGCCCAGGCAGTGCAGTCGAAAATAGTGTATAAAATGTACTTATTAGAATTAACAATAATCCAAATGATATTCGAGATGTGATGATAACACCCATAAAGATAAAAAAAATCATGTGTGTATTACTGAACACACCCCAATGATTATTTACAGAAATTATATTAACTAATAATCACCCAATATAATCACCCCTTCCTTCTATCACAGGAAACACATTCGACCCCACAAGAGATGAGGAGAAAGTCACCTTAAAAGTGTCCCATGGAGATTATAACAAAAATACATTTAAACCCATATTGAGGGAATATTTATCCCAAGAACATTCGGAGTAAGATATATATATACTACCGGTTTTAATACGCAATAATGATAACCACGACAGGATACCTGGCCTGTACTAACAAGGTGGCTAAGAGGAGTGGGGTATGACTACCTGTTGGATGAGCGTATCTGGGTCAAGTGGATCACAAATACACGTCTTTCTCAGTACAGGGTTTTATTGATCCCGAAACTGCAGATGTGTTTGTATAAAGGACAGATTACACCTCGCACAGGTCAGTCGTCAATTCCTTGAAATGTGTAAAGTAAACCGACAAGAGGTAAAGGTAGTGGACACAATACAAACAGAACTAAAGGCCATTCAATATACACATATTCCGAATAGATATTCATGATGTCAATGTTACCTCAGGCTGTAGGTAATTTCTGAGATATAAGCCAGTCTGTCCTTAGCTGAACTAACACATAGCAATCACACCCACATTGTATTCCCGAGAATTTGGCTGGCCTCAGATAAAGCTTTGGCATATCTATGAGGTTAACGCTTATCGCAGCGCATGGTTTGCGGGCTTGAATTTGAGAACTGTGGTGTAGAGCTGAGAGTGAGTGAGTGTGGTTTTACGCCGGTGTTTGCATTTTTTCTGAACTATCACGACGGGAAAATCGAAGCTGGGTCTTCGGCATGATGAGCGAAAGCTTTAACCACTAGGCCACCGCTTCGCCCCTGTTGAACTTGGACAGTTTCAAAGTAGTGATATAGAGAGTGAAGCATCGGTTTAGGATTGTCGATGTTTTAGACCATACACTCCAATGATTGATATTGAGAGCAACAATCCACGTCATTGGATTATGTTGACAGGCCATAAACCAAGTCAAGGATCCAGGCCTTCCGTCCTATTACGTCGCCTATTACAAGCAGTGAGTGAGTGAGTTAAAATGTAACCTCGCATCAGCATTATTTCAGCCATTTTGCAGCAAGAATAAGTTAATATATACACTATTCATTCATGGACACAATCATGTTATGTATAAAAATAATGAATGAAACAAATTTAAGCATAACAATATATTGTATACAGTTTTAAAACATGGGCTATAGGCCACCAGTTACCAAAGCGAGGCCACCTAAGGATGTGGTGGTCTGGTGTGAGGTTAAGCTATGTAAGGTGTGAGGTAGATCTAGGGAGGTGTGAGGTGGAGGTGGTCAGGTGTGAGTTAAAGTTATGTCAGGTGTGAGGTATAACTAGGGAGGTGTGAGGTGGAGCTAGGGAGGTGTGAGGTGAAGCTAGGGAGGTGTGAGGTTGAGGTGGTCAGGTGTGAGTTAAAGTTTTGTGAGGTGTGAGGTAGAGCTAGGGAGGTGTGAGGTAGATCTAAGGAGGTGTGAGGTGGAGGTGGTCAGGTGTGAGTTAAAGTTATCTGAAGTGTAAGGTAGAGTTAGGGAGGTGTGAGGTAGAGCTAGGGAGGTGTGAGGTAGAGCTAGGGAGGTGTGAGGTGGAGGTGGTCAGGTGTGAGTTAAAGTTGTGTGAAGTGTGAGGTAGATCTAGGGAGATGGGAGGTAGATCTAGGGAGGTGTGAGGTGGAGGTGGAGGTGTGAGTTAAAGTTATGTGGGGTGTGAGGTAGAGCTAGGGAGGTGTGAGGTAGATCTAAGGAGGTGTGAGGTGGAGGTGGTCAGGTGTGAGTTAAAGTTATCTGAAGTGTAAGGTAGAGTTAGGGAGGTGTGAGGTAGAGCTAGGGAGGTGTTAGGTAGAGCTAGGGAGGTGTGAGGTGGAGGTGGTCAGGTGTGAGTTAAAGTTGTGTGAAGTGTGAGGTAGATCTAGGGAGATGGGAGGTAGATCTAGGGAGGTGTGAGGTGGAGGTGGAGGTGTGACTTAAAGTTATGTGGGGTGTGAGGTAGAGCTAGGGAGGTGTGAGGTAGATCTAAGGAGGTGTGAGGTGGAGGTGGTCAGGAGTGACTTAAAGTTATGTGAGGTGTGAGGTAGAGCTAGGGAGGTGTGAAGTGGAGGTGGTCAGGTGTGAGTTAAAGTTATGTGAGGTGTGAGGTAGAACTAGGGAGGTGTGAGGTGGAGCTAGGAAGGTGTGAGGTGAATCTAGGGAGGTGTGAGGTGGAGGTGGTCAGGTGTGAGTTAAAGTTATGTGAAGTGTGAGGTGAGCTAGGGAGGTGTGAGGTAGAACTAGGGAGGTGTGAGGTAGAACTAGGGAGGTGTGAGGTGAAGCTAGGGCGGTGTGAGGTGGAGGTGGTCAGGTGTGAGTTAAAGTTATCTGAAGTGTGAGGTAGAGTTAGGGAGGTGTGAGGTAGAGCTAGGGAGGTGTGAGGTGGAGGTGGTCAGGTATGAGTTAAAGCTATGTGAGGTTTGAGGTAGAGCTAGGGAGGTGTGAGGTAGAGCAAGGGGAAGTAAGGTAGAGCTAGGAAGGTGTGAGGTGGAGGTGGTCAGGTGTGAGTTAAAGTTATGTGAGGTGTGAGGTGGAGCTAGGGAGGTGTGAAGTGGAGGTGGTCAGGTGTGAGTTAAAGTTATGTGAGGTGTAAGGTAGAGCTAGGAAGGTGTGAGGTGGAGGTGGTCAGGTGTGAGTTAAAGTTATGTGAGGTGTGAGGTAGAGCTAGGGAGGTGTGAAGTGGAGGTGGTCAGGTGTGAGTTAAAGTTATGTGAAGTGTGAGGTAGAACTAGGGAGGTGTGAGGTGGAGCTAGGGAGGTGTGAGGTGAATCTAGGGAGGTGTGAGGTGGAGGTGGTCAGGTGTGAGTTAAAGTTATGAGAGGTGTGAGGTAGAACTAGGGAGGTGTGACGTGGATCTAGGGAGTTGTGAAGTGGAGGTGGTCAGGTGTGAGTTGAAGTTATGTGAAGTGTGAGGTGAGCTAGGGAGGTGTGAGGTAGAACTGGGGGTGTGAGGTAGAACTAGGGAGGTGTGAGGTGAAGCTAGGGCGGTGTGAGGTGGAGGTGGTCAGGTGTGAGTTAAAGTTATTTGAAGTGTGAGGTAGAGTTAGGGAGGTGTGAGGTGGTCAGGTGTGAGTTACAGCTCTATGAGGTGTGAGGTGAAGCTAGGGAGGTGTGAGGTGGAGATGGTCAGGTGTGAGTTAAAGCTTTGTGAAGTGTGAGGTAGAACTAGGGAGGTGTAAAGTAGAGCTAGGGAGTTGTGAGGTGGAGGTGGTCAGGTGTGAGTTGAAGTTATGTGAGGTGTGAGGTGGAGCTAGGGAGGTGTGAAGTGGAGGTGGTCAGGTGTGAGTTAAAGTTATGTGAGGTGTAAGGTAGAGCTAGGAAGGTGTGAGGTGGAGGTGGTCAGGTGTGAGTTAAAGTTATGTGAGGTGTGAGGTAGAGCTAGGGAGGTGTGAAGTGGAGGTGGTCAGGTGTGAGTTAAAGTTATGTGAAGTGTGAGGTAGAACTAGGGAGGTGTGAGGTGGAGCTAGGGAGGTGTGAGGTGAATCTAGGGAGGTGTGAGGTGGAGGTGGTCAGGTGTGAGTTAAAGTTATGAGAGGTGTGAGGTAGAACTAGGGAGGTGTGACGTGGATCTAGGGAGTTGTGAAGTGGAGGTGGTCAGGTGTGAGTTGAAGTTATGTGAAGTGTGAGGTGAGCTAGGGAGGTGTGAGGTAGAACTGGGGGTGTGAGGTAGAACTAGGGAGGTGTGAGGTGAAGCTAGGGCGGTGTGAGGTGGAGGTGGTCAGGTGTGAGTTAAAGTTATTTGAAGTGTGAGGTAGAGTTAGGGAGGTGTGAGGTGGTCAGGTGTGAGTTACAGCTCTATGAGGTGTGAGGTGAAGCTAGGGAGGTGTGAGGTGGAGATGGTCAGGTGTGAGTTTAAGCTTTGTGAAGTGTGAGGTAGAACTAGGGAGGTGTAAAGTAGAGCTAGGGAGTTGTGAGGTGGAGGTGGTCAGGTGTGAGTTAAAGTTGTGTGAGGTGTGAGGTAGATCTAGGGAGGTGTGAGGTAGAGCTAGGGAGGTGTGAGGTGGAGGTGGTCAGGTTCGAGTTAAAGTTGTGTGAGGTGTGAGGTAGAGCTAGGGGTGTGTGAGGTGGAGGTGGTCAGGTGTCAATTACAGCTTGGTCAGGTGTGAGGTGAGGAGTCTACACTGACCTGCACGCCATCATTTCGCCAAATTCATGATACGCCCTCAGGTTATGTTGGGCTATATTTAACCAGTTGACAGTGTGTTATTATGTATGTATACCCTTATCAGACATATTTATCATAGATAATGCATTGCTCTGTCATTTTCCTGCCTGTAATACGCTGATACTACAACCGGTGTAAACATAACTTGGTGTGAATGGATAATGGAGGTGTGAGGCCTGGGTAGAGCTGTGGGAGTTGGGAGGTAGAGCTGTGGGAGGTGTGAGGCCTGGGTAGAGCTATGGGAGTTGGGAGGTAGAGCTGTAGGAGCTGTGAGGCCTGGGTAGAGCTGTTGGAGTAGTGAGGTGACACTATAGGAGGTGTGAGTCCTGGGTAGAGCTATGGGAGTTGGGAGGTAGAGCTGTAGGAGGTGTGAGGCCTGGTTAGAGCTATGGGAGTTGGGAGGTAGAGCTGTATGAGCTGTTAGGCCTGGGTAGAGCTATGGGAGTTGTGAGGTAGAGCTGTGGGAGGTGTGAGGCCTGGGTAGAGCTATGAGAGTTGGGAGGTAGAGCTGTAGGAGCTGTGAGGCCTAGGTAGAGCTATGGGAGTTGGGAGGTAGAGCTGTAGGAGGTGCGAGGCCGGGATAGAGCAGTGGGAGGTGATAGGTAGAGCCAGTGAGGTGTCAGGTGAAACTATTGGAGGTGTGAGGCCTGGATAGAGCTGTGGGAGGTGTGAGGTGGAGCCAGTGACGTGTGAGGTGAAACTATTGGAGGTGTGAGGTAGGGTCAGTGAGTCGTGAGGTGAAACTATTGGAGTTGTGAGGCCTGGGTAGAGCTGTGGGGGGTGGGAGGTAGAGCCAGTGAGATGTGAGGTGAAACTATAGGAGGTGTGAGGTAGGGCCAGTGAGGTGTGAGGTGAAACTCTTGGAGGTGTGAGGCCTGGATAGAGCTGTTGGAGTTGTGAGGTAGAGCTGTTGGAGGTGTGAGGCCTGGGTAGAGCTATGGGAGTTGGGAGGTAGAGCTGTAGGAGCTGTGAGGCCTGGGTAGAGCTGTTGGAGTAGTGAGGTGACACTATAGGAGGTGTGAGTCCTGGGTAGAGCTATGGGAGTTGGGAGGTAGAGCTGTAGGAGGTGTGAGGCCTGGTTAGAGCTATGGGAGTTGGGAGGTAGAGCTGTATGAGCTGTTAGGCCTGGGTAGAGCTATGGGAGTTGTGAGGTAGAGCTGTGGGAGGTGTGAGGCCTGGGTAGAGCTATGAGAGTTGGGAGGTAGAGCTGTAGGAGCTGTGAGGCCTAGGTAGAGCTATGGGAGTTGGGAGGTAGAGCTGTAGGAGGTGCGAGGCCGGGATAGAGCAGTGGGAGGTGATAGGTAGAGCCAGTGAGGTGTCAGGTGAAACTATTGGAGGTGTGAGGCCTGGATAGAGCTGTGGGAGGTGTGAGGTGGAGCCAGTGACGTGTGAGGTGAAACTATTGGAGGTGTGAGGTAGGGTCAGTGAGTCGTGAGGTGAAACTATTGGAGTTGTGAGGCCTGGGTAGAGCTGTGGGGGGTGGGAGGTAGAGCCAGTGAGATGTGAGGTGAAACTATAGGAGGTGTGAGGTAGGGCCAGTGAGGTGTGAGGTGAAACTCTTGGAGGTGTGAGGCCTGGATAGAGCTGTTGGAGTTGTGAGGTAGAGCTGTTGGAGGTGTGAGGCCTGGGTAGAGCTATGGGAGTTGGGAGGTAGAGCTGTAGGAGCTGTGAGGCCTGGGTAGAGCTGTTGGCGTAGTGAGGTGACACTATAGGAGGTGTGAGGCCTGGGTAGAGCTATGGGAGTTGGGAGGTAGAGCTGTAGGAGCTGTGAGGCCTGGGTAGAGCTGTTGGCGTAGTGAGGTGACACTATAGGAGGTGTGAGGCCTGGGTAGAGCTATGGGAGTTGGGAGGTAGAGCTGTAGGAGGTGTGAGGCCTGGGTAGAGCTATGGGAGTTGGGAGGTAGAGCTGTGGGAGGTGCGAGGCCTGGGTAGAGCTATTTGAGTTTTGAGGTAGAGCTGTGGGAGCTGTGAGACCTGGGTAGAGCTATGGGAGTTGGGAGGTAGAGCTGTAGGAGCTGTGAGGCCTGGGTAGAGCTATGGGAGTTGGGAGGTAGAGCTGTGGGAGGTGTGAGGCCTGGGTAGAGCTATTTGAGTTGTGAGGTAGAGCTATGGGAGTTGTGAGGTAGAGCTGTGGGAGGTGTTAGGCCTGGGTAGAGCTATGGGAGTTGGGAGGTAGAGCTGTAGGAGCTGTGAGGCCTGGGTAGAGCTGTTGGAGTAGTGAGGTGACACTATAGGAGGTGTGAGGCCTGGGTAGAGCTATGGGAGTTGGGAGGTAGAGCTGTAGGAGGTGTGAGGCCTGGGTAGAGCTATGGGAGTTGGGAGGTAGAGCTGTGGGGGGTGCGAGGCCTGGGTAGAGCTATTTGAGTTGCGAGGTAGAGCTGTGGGAGGTGTGAGGCCTGGGTAGAGCTATGGGAGTTGGGAGGTAGAGCTGTAGGAGCTGTGAGGCCTGGGTAGAGCTGTTGGAGTAGTGAGGTGACACTATAGCAGGTGTGAGGCCTGGGTAGAGCTATGGGAGTTGGGAGGTAGAGCTGTGGGAGGTGTGAGGCCTGCCCAGCTAACACACGACGTTGTCACAACGTTGTGGAAAGGTTGTGGATTGGTAACGTCGTGAAATAACGTTGTCACAACGTTATTATAACGTCAACGTGCAACGTTATTTCACAACGTTATAACAATGTTGCACATTCACGTTGTGAAAACGTTGTGCATCGGACATCGCACAACGTTTTGTAACTACGTTTCTGAAACGTCGGTGAAACGTTATGAAGTTTGCTTCTTGATAGTCATAAAGGAATAGAACTGCTTTATCAAAATCAACATGAATTTGTCAGAATACCAAGGCAGTAATGCATTACCTTTCTGTATATTCGGCATTTGAATTTTCATCTCTTAATACTAAAATTTCCAGAACGTAATTGCGTATCTCTATTACAACGTTAGTGTTACGTTACATTGTAACGTTATTCCACAACGTAACAACAACGTTGCAAATTAACGTTGTGATAACGTTATGCCTTGGACATTACAACACTTTTTGTAAATGATGTTTAGGAAATCACTTGTAGATCTACCATCTCGTAGTTTTATTTTTTTTAAACATATATATCTATGAACGAAGTTATCTGTCTACTAAATGTTGTCTAAAGCAAAATTACAGTTAAAAACACATTGGCGCGCATTTTTTGCGGCGTGAGAGCGACTGCTGAAAAGTTTAGCCTGTTGCCTCGTGAAGTGACGTCAAAATGACGTCACATTGTCGCCGAAGATTTGTTGTCACCAGCCATCTTAGTTCAAACTCACTCTGGATATATTACAACCAAGTGATTGTGCAGCAACGGGAACTGGACAGATGATCTGTGAATTCGGATAAGGTAAGTTATTTTTCAAAAGCAGTCTCCGCTTGTTGATATGTTTCTGTACATGCAGATAGTTAAATGATTTCAATGTATCGTATTATTCAGAAGTGGCGGGGTTTAGAATGCAGTTTGCCGGTCACTTTCACTGAGCTGAGCGTCAGTGTTGATAGTAATATTTGATACACAGAACGTGATGTATATAGAGGTGAAGGAAGCCCATGACTTTTTACCATATTATTATGTTATGGATACCAAGGGTAATTACCAAGGGCAAGCAGTAGGTATATGTTTGACCAGAATTCAGTCTGGCGGCGTTTTGTGGTCGTCATATTATGTTCGGGTTTCGATCGTAAGTGTATAAGGTCTGTAGGCCTAAATAGGCCTAACGTATGCATCGCCTACTGACCACTGATAGTTTTCGCCATTTCTTCCGTGTTATTTCGGAAATCTGAAAGTTTACATGTACTAATATTCTGACTTTGATTTTTGTGAAACAATGTGGCTCATTCAGGCCATGGGAAAGGTTGAGTAGATTTCTCTTATACAGCGAAGAGAGGGAATCAAAACAATGGAAGTATTTTCAGATCGACTCTCTGTAGGCTGCTAGTTATAGCCCTAGTCTAAAGCGCTCAATGATGTTATGAAAAATTGTATTTTCGGGAAGAGACAGAAACATACTTGTTGTTCCCGAAAAGGCCTAATTAGCACTGACTGAAGTAGCCTAAATGTGGATCATCTGGTTGTTTGTGCTGTCTATAAAGTTTTTGAGCAAGGCGCTTATCATGTGTATTTTTAATATTTCCAAAAAATAGAATCAATTCATCATTTTCCGATAACTAGATCTATGTCCGACTCCCTTCTAATGAAAACGAGCAAACGTAAAACAAGTCTCGTCGCGCGCTATAACGGGGTGTTTGCGGTATTGTTCTCGCTGGTGATGATAAGCTAGTCGATAATCAAAAGTTGAATATCACCATACATTGTCAGTGATTTGGTCATCGTTTGTTGATTATTAAGGTGAGATAGGTGTAGATCTAGTCAATGTGCACCAATGAAAAATACAATGGAATTTATAGCAACCATATTCGTTCGGTTTTCGATCTCCGTATGTTGCAAGGTAGGCTACCATACTACAGAATTATATTTAACGATATTGAACTGTATTATGTTAATAAACGTAGTAAGTATATGATACTTGGTTCTCTGAAACGTTTTGGCAATGAGAGAGAATAAAATGGTGATCGAAAACTGAACGAGTAAGTTCAAGTGCTAGCTACGAAATCGTACTGTAGCTAGATCTATATAAACAGCGCTGCGATGAAGATGTGAGTCGTAATTAGCTACAATGCCTGTCAAATATATCTGTTCCCGTTTGGATTCCGGTTTAGAAAAGGTCCCCAACAAACCATGTTTGTACTAACATGATTGTGTGTCATTGTACTCTGACAGAGGTTGTGAGACGTGGCTCACTATAACAATCACTGGTTTGTCAGACCAGTGTATATGTAAAACCAAATTACATTAGGTGTTTTTTTTATGATGGTACTCATAATTTTGTTACTTATATCTGTAGCCTGAGTTTATTTCCGATCGGACCTTATACATGAAGACTTTAGATTTACAGTTTTCCTAAATTTTAGGCAATTATACAATGTATGTTATCTTTTCGTTTAGACTACAGATCTAAATGTATGCTTATTGAATATAGTTTTAGTTTTGACTTTTTTAATATGTTTTCGTTGCAGCAATGGGGAAAATGTTACACGACCATTCCAGGAGATAAAATCAAGAATGTTGAATCATTGAGGAACACACCAAATAAACCCTGGGCTGTGAATTATGTTAACGTAAGTACAATTGTTTACGGTTACATTCCATTGTCTATATCCATGTTAATTGGTGGGGTTTTTTTTGCTTGAAATGAATGCTAAGAATGTAGATCTATTTATATAAATCTATGCTCGTACCACGTTTTGTATTCAACCTGATTCTTGATGTCTCTTAATGAATGTTAAAATTTGTTTCCATCAGTCACTTGAATTATACATTATAGTTTGAATATTGATAAAACCTTATCTCCAAATGAATGTTTCTCGTCATATGAAATCTTTCATATACCTGCTCGAGATTTATTAAGCTGTTTATATTTCAGGGAAGTGGAAGTGAACACCAAAGAAAGAAGATTCTGGCATTCAATAATTTCGAAAAGTGTATACATTTTCTATAATCTAAAAATAATAAAATGTCAACGCAAATGTGTCTTGGAGTTCTTTGTTGAATGGTGACTTCGCATGACTGAAAGTTGAAGTTTACAATATGAACTTGATTAGAGACCGACCATTTAATATTCAAGGAGGTGGGGACCTGGAACTTTTCTATGGAGATTACAAATGTTTTCGGTCACAGCTACAAAAGCAGATATATGATTTTCTTTAACTCTATGAGCCTGAAGATAAGCACCTTGCATCTAGATCTATGTCATTTTTTTGTGGCAGGCATTTTTTTCACCAGTCTGAACCGTAAATATTTTTGTCAAGAATTTTCGGTGACAATATTTTTTTTCGATAACATTCCAGGACCCGACCCTCCCCAGAAAATATCACATGGTCAACCCCTTACAATGTCTGCCATTCTTTTTTTTTATTTCTTTCAGTACAAGCCTAAAGGGTAATGGTGTCTGACTTTGTTATAGTCAAATCATGTATCTAGTTAACAGCTGAGTGGTGTTTTTACATTTTGAACATTGTTAGCAAAACACGATCTAACTCACTCTTAACCAGGCTATTCGACGCCCTGGTTTTAAAATATTGGTAAAAGGTATCTCGAATCATACACATTCACGTGACTAAAGCATATTCTAAAACATTTCCGGAACAAGTTTTGGGGTTGTTTTTACAACATTTTAGTGTGGAATGGTCACAACCGTATTTCATCCTTGTAACACAAAGTTATTTCACGTCGTTGTGACAACGTCCATGGTAGTACACAGAATAACGTTGTAGGGACGCATTATTATAACATTGCCACAACGTAAAATACAACATAACCACAACGTCAAATACAACGTTCCCTCAACGTAAAAATACAACGTTCCAACAACGTCTAATACAACGTGATCACAACGTTGTGAAGACGTGAATATGACGTAACACAACGTTAGATCATGACGTTGTGACAACATAAATGGGAGTCCACAGAATAACGTTATATGGACGTAACATCCGCAACGTTACCACAACGTAAACACGACGTTATCACAACGTTCCCAAAACGTAAAATACAACGTCATCACAACGTTGTGACGACGTGAATATGACGTAACACAACGTTAGGCCATGACGTTGTGACAACATAAATGGGAGTCCACAGAATAACGTTATATGGACGTAACATCCGCAACGTTGCCACAACGTAAACACAACGTTGTCACGACGTTGTCACAACGTGAAATTGTTAGCTGGGTGGGTAGAGCTATGGGAGTTGGGAGGTAGAGCTGTAGGAGGTGCGAGGCCTGGATAGAGCTGTGGGAGGTGTGAGGTAGAGCCAGTGAGGTGTCAGGTGAAACTATTGGAGGTGTGAGGCCTGGATAGAGCTGTGGGAGGTCTGAGGTGGAGCCAGTGACGTGTGAGGTGAAACTCTTGGAGGTGTGAGGCCTGGATAGAGCTGTGGGAGTTGTGAGGTAGAGCTGTGGGAGGTGTGAGGCCTGGGTAGAGCTATGGGAGTTGGGAGGTAGAGCCAGTGAGGTGTCAGGTGAAACTATTGGAGGTGTGAGGCCTGGATAGAGCTGTGGGAGGTGGGATGTAGAGCCAGTGAGGTGTGAGGTGAAACTATAGGAGGTGTGAGGTAGGGCCAGTGAGGTGTGAGGTGAAACTCTTGGAGGTGTGAGGCCTGGATAGAGCTGTGGGAGTTGTGAGGTAGAGCTGTGGGAGGTGTGAGGCCTGGGTAGAGCTATGGGAGTTGGGAGGTAGAACCAGTGAGGTGTCAGGTGAAACTATTGGAGGTGTGAGGCCTGGATAGAGCTGTGGGAGGTCTGAGGTGGAGCCAGTGACGTGTGAGGTGAAACTATTGGAGGTGTGAGGTAGGGCCAGTGAGTCGTGAGGTGAAACTATTGGAGTTGTGAGGCCTGGATAGAGCTGTGGGGGGTGGGAGGTAGAGCCAGTGAGGTGTCAGGTGAAACTATTGGAGGTGTGAGGCCTGGATAGAGCTGTGGGAGGTGGGATGTAGAGCCAGTGAGGTGTGAGGTGAAACTATAGGAGGTGTGAGGTAGGGCCAGTGAGGTGTGAGGTGAAACTCTTGGAGGTGTGAGGCCTGGATAGAGCTGTGGGAGTTGTGAGGTAGAGCTGTGGGAGGTGTGAGGCCTGGGTAGAGCTATGGGAGTTGTGAGGTAGAGCTGTAGGAGGTGTTAGGCCTGGGTAGAGCTATGGGAGTTGTGAGGTAGAGCTGTGGGAGGTGTGAGGCCTGGGTAGAGCTATGGGAGTTGGGAGGTAGAGCTGTAGGAGCTGTGAGGCCTGAGTAGAGCTGTTGGAGTAGTGAGGTGACACTATAGGAGGTGTGAGGCCTGGGTAGAGCTATGAGAGTTGGGAGGTAGAGCTGTAGGAGGTGTGAGGCCTGGGTAGAGCTATGGGAGTTGGGAGGTAGCGCTGTGGGAGGTGCGAGGCCTGGGTAGAGCTATTTGAGTTGTGAGGTAGAGCTGTGGGAGGTGTGAGGCCTGGGTAGAGCTATGGGAGTTGGGAGGTAGAGCTGTAGGAGCTGTGAGGCCTGGGTAGAGCTGTTGGAGTAGTGAGGTGACACTATAGCAGGTGTGAGACCTGGGTAGAGCTATGGGAGTTGGGAGGTAGAGCTGTGGGAGGTGCGAGGCCTGGATAGAGCTGTGGGAGGTGTGAGGTAGAGCCAGTGAGGTGTCAGGTGAAACTATTGGAGGTGTGAGGCCTGGATAGAGCTATGGGAGGTGTGAGGTGAAGCCAGTGACGTGTGAGGTGAAACTATTGGAGGTGTGAGGTAGGGCCAGTGAGTCGTGAGGTGAAACTATTGGAGTTGTGAGGCCTGGATAGAGCTGTGGGAGGTGGGAGGTAGAGCCAGTGAGGTGTGAGGTGAAACTATAGGAGGTGTGAGGTAGGGCCAGTGAGGTGTGAGGTGAAACTATTGGAGGTGTGAGGCCTGGATAGAGCTGTGGGAGTCGGGAGGTAGAGCCAGTGAGGTGTGAGGTGAAATTTGAGGAGGTGTGAGGCCTGGGTAGAGCTATGGGAGGTGTGAGGTAAAGTTCTGTTTGTTTGTTTGATTGTTGATCCGAGGTAGAATAGGTCAACCCATGCTTACCTAAAAGGTTTCTATGCTTGTCGTAAGATGTGGCTAACTGGATCGGGGGTCAGGCTCAATGACTTGGTTGGTGAATGTAATCGTGTCCCAATTCCGAGGATCGATGCTCAGGATGCCCATCACTAGCTTGCCTGGTCAAGACTCGATTATGTACAGACCGCCGTCATATAGCTGGAATATTGCTGAGTGCGGCGTTAAACAAGCAAAAAGGCAACAACGTGCGTGCGTGCTTGCGTGCCTGCGTGCGTGCGTGTGTGACGAGGGCCAGGTAGGTACTGAGGGACCAGTGAGAAGTGACGATGGCCACAACACAGACTAACCAATCACGTCCTGTAATCATCCAACATGAAATGATGTGTGGAATTCGGTAATTAAATATATTAAAGGACAGACCGTCATATACCATCTTGTGGCAACACATTATGTATTACCTTATATATGTGATAATCCTTCATTTCTTGAACCACACAACCTTCTATGTATCAATGATAACTGACTCTTTGCAGTTAAAACACATTCTAGTGGCGCCCTTTGTGATTATTCATTAGTATATCTCGTACACAACACATATCACTCACCAATCACACACAGAGACTACACTGACCTGCACGCCACCATTTCGACGAAATCCGGATACGCCCCTCTACCGTTGAATATCGCTATTGCATCAGGTTACTTTGTGTCATCATGTATCATGTAGGTATACCCTTATCAGACATATTTATCATAGATAATGCATTGCCCTATCATTTTCCTGTCTGCAATGCGCTGATACTCCAACCGGTGACAACATAACTTGGTGTGAATGGATAGTAGTCGATGTGTTTAACGCGAACTGAAATTAAAGGTACAGCTTCATGTATCAAAACGTATCAGCATAGGATGTCAACTGAGTAGCTTATAAACATTAATTAATTTGCTATCATTAAATAAGAATTTGCACCGAATGAACAAGTATTAGAAGGCCGTTTTACCTTAACGATGCAAGAGAGTATAAAAGAAACATACGCCTGACAGTCTCTGACGGGAACGGGAACGGTAAGCTGAGTAAGTAGATGACATCTAAGAAGTTTTAACCAGGAAACAAACAAGATTGTATCGTGTTTTCTCTTTCATGCTATTAGTATCTACATTGGTCAAAGGTGTATACTTCCAGGAAACCATGGTATACACAAACACCTTTTCTATCCATCTGGCAGAAAAGATGACTGTCACTCAGAGCTAAAAGAAGACGAGGTTGATAATTTCAATAAATAAGGCAATACACATTACTCATATGAACATGCAGGGATGGCATCAGTTCAGATTATAACTGATGTTTATCAAGTGTCATGGCGTAATATTCAACCGTTTATAAGATTGGTTCTAAAAATTTACCCTAAGTCCAAAGTGTTGCCCTGGAAGCGAAACACTATCTATATTTGATACAACATCCAGAAAGGCACCGTTTTGTCGCATGTCCGATGTGTATACAAAGGTTCCTGAATAAATATGAAATTGTTTTTGGGGTATGCTCCAGGTGTGTTGGGTGGGATGGGGTGGTAGGGGTGGGGTGGGGGTTAGAGTGTGGCAGTATGTGAGCCATAGATTTGGCGAAGTCAGCGTTGTGTGTAAGGGCGGCACGTGTGTGTGCGTGTGTGTGTCAGTCCTTATGCAAATGTAATCAAGCCTCGAGCTGAAATCTGGTCAGATGTGACATATTTTTGTTGAGGAGTTTACCATGGGTTTTGAAAGTTTACCTTTCTTGTCATTCTGAACAAACAGCATGGGGTCAGCATTCGTTTTGATTTGGAGACGCATTAATTTCAATATTTACAGTAGATACTTATGGCTTTTTGTTCTTATGCGGTCTATTAAAAATGTACTTGACCCTGTTCAAAGTCACACCAAGACCTTTTTTGTCGCTACAGTTACATTTAGAAGTTGTTCCGCAAATTCCACATCTATCATAAGGCTTGTTGTTTATGCTTAAAGGGGGACATAGCATGTATGTTGGACGTTCCGTGTTTTACTCACCAAAATAACGGAGACAGCTTGTTCCTACACCACCACACCAACCACCTTTACCCGACAGTTAGTTGAATTCAAGTTACGTCCCTCTATATTGACACGGAGAAAACTGCTAGCTCCACCACCTAAGTGTTCTACTGGAGACGAGTTCTTAAGTATGGAAGAATTCATAATGGCATGGCACACTTGTTGTGAGCAAATTTAGTAACCACACAGTTTGCAAAGTCACAAACCGTTTGCAGTGCTCCCAAAAGTAAAGCAGAGCGACCTAATTTTCCCAGACGTATTACCTGAAACTTCTATGGGTTAGCCTTCATTGTATTGTCCTCAAACCATCTTATTGTGGTGTTACAGTCTTTTTGGAGGACAGAAATGATTTTGTCTGACACCAAGTGGGAGTAAGACATATAAACGTATTGAATAAAACAAGGCCTAAAATAAAGGCTTGCGATACTCCTTTGTTTACATTGAACCGGGCGCTACAGTTTAAAACCATCTTTTTTATGTAAAATGTAAGATTCTATAAGGCCTATACTGTTGTGTTTTTATTTGCTGTTGTTGACATGAAAGACTTGGGCTTGCTTTAATCTGTTTGGAAAGGAACATGTGCTTCGAAAGTGATTAATGACAGCGTGGTTTAACAAGTGGGATGTGTGGAGGAATGTTGACCATTACTGTTGCCTTTAATTATAATTAATTTCTGTGGAATCAGGAACGATAGGACAGGCTAGTCAAACGAGGGTGTAGAATATTTTATGTCATTATTTAATAAGATACCTAACAACACAATATCCAAAAAAATTATTCAAGGATAGGAACTTGATCTTGCCTTAAACATGACTGAAATAGATGATCAATCGTAGCCCCCACAGATGACACGTGTCCTCAAAACAGAAATGGTTCTAACACCGACGTTCTTAGTGGTCATGTAATGGTTGCATGTTTAATTACTACCTATTTAAACAATACTTACAATGTGGCTAATATACCGTACTGACAAGTTGAATTTAGAGTTTTGAATGCATGCTCACCGCCAAAAGAAACACTAAGCATAGAAACATATAGAGGAGGATGTACGTTAAGAAGATATGTTCCCAATGTGTATCAATTAAAGACAAAGCTAACACTCAGTCAAGTGTTACTACAGAGTGCTTTTATTCTAATCAGGATATGCTGCTGGTGATTTCCAAACTTTACACACTTATCCTGCACGAGAAAAATAGTGCATCTCGAGTCACATGTGATGCGTTCATGAGCGTCGGTACAGACAACATACCAGTATGTTCGTTTGTGCATCAACACAATCTAATATATCTAGAATATGAGTAATTATTTATATATTAACCAACATATTCACGTTTATTTTGTTGTTATGGTATAAATTGACTAAAATATGATGCATTTTGGAACTGTGATTGAAGGTTTTTTGCTTAGAATTGCTGGACAGCTGGGAAGTGACTGTAGGTTTGCAGTTGATGTAGCATTGCCTCACTTGTTGGACCACCTCCGTGTTCTATTGGTAATGCGTTCTTCAACATGGCATAAATCACAGATAATGAACAAAGTTCAGTAGTTCACACATTTTGCTGTCATCGAAACAAATCACTGTGTTGGGGCTACCGTGGTGTGGCGTGGTAGTGGCAGCAGGAAAGCTAAATAACGCCGAAGCTCAAGTCAATAGCGTACATCGAGGGGCCAACTACGTTCTGATCTTTCTGCTTTCCAGAGCTTAAAACTCTATGGTCTAGTGGATAAAGCTTCTGTCCGGATAACAGGTGGAGGGGTTTATCCCCAGCCACCTTTTTACAAAATACGTTAAAAGTTGGTACTTGTTGTTACCCTGCCTGGTGATCGGCATTAATAGACTAAAACAAGGACTAGTCGATTCGGAGTCAGTATAGTGTGTCTGAGTGGGGTATTCATGTTAAACTGCGGCATGGAATCTCAGTGGGCTAGCACCATAAAATCAGCATTTATCCCGACTAGTACAAACACACACAAACACGTGCATGCACGTCGCGAAAAAAGTTAAACGCCATTTATCTTCACCTCCACTCGCCTGTCCAAAACCCATACTCTCACCTCTACATAACTGATCTTGTTCTCCATGACACACTATGTCCGTTCTCTCACCAATCTGGCTCAGATAAGTGTCCAACTCCACTGTCATCTAGTTACCACGAAGTTCACTGAGCCTAGTTTTGTAACAATTTAGTGGCTGTTTCGGCGTTTGTGAGTGCATAGTGTTCAAAAAGGAAATGTAAATGTTAGCTAGGCTCGAAACATCACCCTTTTTGATTGTGCTTCGATGTTAGTTAGTCATCAGGCAGATGTCAGATTGTTTCGTTTTAAATGATGATGCCATTGACAAAAAGTAATCAAACTAGTCAAAACGAACATCAATGTTTAAGAAGTTGAATTAAAACTATATGTGACCTCTAAAACAGCTCTCCAGATATATCTTATCAAGCAGAAAGGTAGCGCATGTTAACACATGTACCACTGCATAATAATGTTAAACTTTAATAAAAAGATATCAATCAAAGTAATCGGTCAAATATTAACTATCTGTTTTTTACTTATTCTTATGTGTCGACTTGCAAATTGAACCAATAAGTTAACCAATAATTTTATACATAACAAAATTCAGTATGAAACCAACAAACAACAAAAAAAGTTATCCAATTGACAAATGTATTATTTCATCAGCTAAGTTCCCTATCATGCAACAGTTATTACAATGGCATTACAAAATGCAGTGGCAGTATACAATACAATAACAGGGGTAATAGCAAGACAGTCAGACATAATAACATTCACCTTGCAGCAACAGTTGTCAAGCTCTCAAAATATGCCTAGAATGGGCATCGAGGGGGAACACAATGATCTTCACACAAAAGTTGGTGTTGATGTAATGTGAGATGAGAGAGGCATACTCTTGCATCCCTTGAATAGTCTATATATATCCCAGCATTTCTAGACAGTGCTGGATAAGTTGAGCTGTTCGAGATTACACTTGACTCCAAAAGCATCTAAATATTACTTTCACATCACTGCTAACATTAGATAGTATTACATTCCTTACAACAATTTATTGTCAAAACACAATGCTATGGACTTCCACGGAATCTCAACAGAAACAATGTAACACAATTACAATATTGTTTAAAATAAATGACACTGACACATATAATTGTACATACAATATGGTTATGTATAAGGTAATTATGATCAATTTATCACCACCACTTTTCACCTATTGCAACACAAGACTACAACACTATAGTGCATGTTTTATTTCACACAACATTGTATATCATAATCACAACAGTTCTATATGAACAGACTTAAAACGTAGGGAATTGATTGCTATTGAATCAATTGGTCGTTAACCCATTAACAGCCCAAACACATTCAATGAGGAACGTTATAACAATGAGTGGACAGTTGCACCTCTATAATATCAAATGCATGTGTCAACCTACATGCTGAATGATCACCTGTGGAGAAATGTGCATCCGATTAAACGGGGGTTCCTTCCCACACTTCTACTCTCAGTGAATGGGATGGCAAGGCATTCCGTTTTAGAATTGTGATTGCAACACTGCACTCTCCCCGCTGAGCAAGGCTGAGAATAGTTTCTCCAGTGTCAGAGACCAGAGTGAGATCTGCATCGTGAGACACCAGTAGATGGATCACTTCATCATGTCCACACGCAGCCGCCATCATCACCGGTGTCCAGCCATAGCGACCACGGACATTGACGTCATAGGATGGGAGCAGATACTCCACACACCATCTGTTGCCTCCTCGACAGGCAAGATGTAGTAAACTGTCTCCATCCTGATCTGTCTGAACCAGGTCAGCACTCCCTCGACTGTAGGTCTTCAGGAAAACTACTTCCCCCCTGACCAGGGACTTCATTAGCTCACTCCACGGTGCCACTTGCTGGACTTGTTTTCTGTGGAGTTGTTTTATGATTTGTCTGTTACCGTGTTTCAGGGCGAGAGTAAGAGCATCGTCTCCCGTGTTGTCAACTAAAGTCAGATCCGTGCCTCTGTTTGTCAGGTATTTGACAACGGCAGCTTTTCTGTGCAGTACACCCGTCATGACAGGTGTGAGGCCCATATTGTCCTTTGAGTTGACATCAAATCAGCTATGATATGTTTCAACATTGCAAGCTGTCCGTGATGACATGCAAGATGAAGTAGAGTGTGTCTGTCTTTGTCCACCAGAGTAGGGTCAGCACCACAGGACATCAAGTATTTGTATACAGCAATGTGACCTCCACAGACTGCTCGCATTAGAGGAGTCTCGCGATTCCTTCCCCTGGTGTTGATGTAAAAGCTGTCAATTACCTCCTTTACAGTGGCTAGATTACCCCCAAGACAGGCTGCATGAAGAACAATATCATTTTCAGAGGCAGTTAATGATTGATTACCCCCTTTTCTTGCAATCAGATCATAAGCTTCCTTCTTCCCACTGAGAGCTCCCATCATTAATGGTGTCAATCCATCTTCTCCAGGACTGTTCATGTCAAACAGTGGTATGAGATGCCCTATGATGAATGTATTTCCACCCCGGCATGCAAGATGAAGAATGTTGTTTTTGTTGTCATCAGTCGGTGTGAGATCAGCTTTCTTTGAAATCAGAAAGTCAAACACATCCTTCTTCCCTGCCACAGCTGCAGCCATGACTGGAGTCCGGTCATTCTTTCCCCGAATGTTTACATCTATTATCAAAAGAAGTGATTGTACAATGGATATAGTCCCGCCTTCACATGCCAAGTGAAGTATTGTGTCACGATATACATTGTATGCGGACATTGCATCTTGTTTTGAAGAAAGTAGTTCAAATGCATCTTTCTTTCCAGACAATGCTGCATACATCACTGTTGTCAAATCGTTTTTTCCACGACAATTTATGTCAAACTGTTTCTCTATCAAATATTCAACAATGGAGCAGTTTCCTCCCTGACTGGCAAGGTGAAGTATAGTATCATTGTTATCATCAACTGTTTTGAGATCAACTTTCTTTGACACAAGGAGTTTGAAAACATCAGCATTGCCTGCCCAAGCAGACTTCATGATTCCTGTTCTCCCAAGGTTTCCCTGACTGTTCTTATCAGCTTTTAGCAGTAGATCTTTCACTATGGTTCTGTTTCCTCCGATACATCCCAAATGAAATGCCGAGTTGTTGTAGTCATCTTCCAGGGAGAGATCAGCATCCTTTGACACAAGCAGGCGGAACACATCACTGTCTCCATTGACAGCAGCATACATCACTGGCGTCCAGCCATTGCCTCCACGACTGTTGATGTTAAACTGTGGGAGTAAGTATTTCACAATGGAGGCATTTCCGCCGTGACATGCAAGATGGAGGAGATTGTTACTACTGTCGTCAATCAGTTCAAGATTTGCTTTCTCTTTCACAAGCAGGTCAAATACGTCCTTCCTTCCATTCACAGCTGCCTTCATAACTGGTGTCCAGCCATGTTTTCCCAGCCTGTTGATGTCAAGCCGTGTAAGTAGATACTCTAAAATAGATGTATCGTCCGACTGGCAAGCCACATGAAGCAGGCTGTTGTTGCCATCATCAGTCAGGTTGATGTCCGCATTTCTTGACAAAAGAAGGTCGAACGTGTTCTTCTTTCCAGATGATACTGAACACATTATTGGTGTCTGACCATGTTTACCAGTGGCATTCACACCCGTTAATTGCAGCAGGCGTTCCACAATACAATTAACCCCACACTCACATGCTAGATGAAGTGCATTCCTGGTATTTTTATCTCTTAATCTATTGTCAGCTTTGTGTTTCAAAAGAACATCCAAAGCATCCTTCTTTCCAGCAAACACTGCACACACAAGTGGTGTCCAGCCATGCATTCCTCGAGTGTTGATGTCACATTTCAATTCTTTAAGAAGATACTCTACACTGGACCTTGTTCCATTCTCAACTGCCAGATGTAATAAGCTGTTGTTATTGTTGTCACATAGTCCTACATCAGCGTTGTGTTTCACCAGGAGTTTCAGACTACCCACGTGTCAAGAGACAACTGCGTACATAACTGGCGTCCAGCCATTCAAGCCACGTCTATTGATGTCACAGTGATGAACAAGTTGCTCCAGGATTGTCGTGTTCCCAGTGAAGCAGGCGTAATGGAAGATGTTGTGGATGACATCATGAGACAGAGAAGCTAGATCTTTTATCATTTGAGATAATCTGTCAACTATTTCCTTTCTTCTACATATAGGATGCATGATGTATTCACTCAAAGAACCATTGGCAATATAATCAGCCATTCTGTCAACAATGGTTTCACTGTAGGCCGCTAAGAAAGGAATGCTGAGCTGGTGTTCATTGAAGGTAGCAATGTCTGCTTGCTGATCCTGTACATGTTCAAAGAGAAACCTAATGTCGCAATGTTTACGGGAATACTCTGGATCAATACTGAACAAGACAGAAGCACAGACATCATAAATCATCAAATGGGAAAATGATATTAAGTTTCCTTCTTTCAAAAGAGAACGACATAAACCTCTGATAGCCTCAGCTACATCTTGTCTGGTTGACGTCTTCACAAAGGACAGAGCTGTCTTGATGTGGGCATCCAGGTCTGGGTTGTCAGATTCAGTCTCAAGCTGACTGAGGTTCAGCTGCCTGTCACACAGGAGCACCAGGATTAGGGCAGCTGAGTGGTTATCCCTTCTATTAATCACCGTATCAAGTTCACGTTTAAGATAGAATACAGAATTTCCCCAAAACGTTTCATCGTGTTCTTGAAAGGCAGCATAACTGGAGAACAATTTGCATACAAGAGGAAATCCAACAGTTTGTTTATCGCATGCACCAAGTTCGATCTCATCGACGTTTGCTTTGCATTTGTAATGGTGTTTATGTTTCATCCATATTCCTTTCTTCTCCTCCGGTGTGTAAGACAATGATGCTACTGTAGAGTTACTTAAAAAAACAGATTGGATGACCTTCAAGTTTTAACATTGAATGTTCTAGGGCGGAGGTTTCTGTGGTGAATATGAGGTACATGTCTGACTGATTGTCTCTTCTTTCTTCCTCTCCCGACTCCTGCTGCATACTCTCATATCGTCTCTCAGACCTGTCCTTGCACTTTGCGAGGTACAGATGGAGGTCATACAGAATGTGTGTAAGACGAGGCACATCCATATGTGATCGAGCCTTCTGAAATATGTCATCAACTATCACACATACATCACGGTCTTGCCAGTCAGACAAGTTTACTTGTGAAAGATCATCAACCAGTACCAGCTCATACCCCTGCGTCCTGTATTCATCTCCCAGCATCAGGGCCATGGATGTTTTACCTTCACCCGGAGCACCACTGATGGTCACATGATGGAACGTCGCCAACATTTTCTCTCACTTTCTTAAAGTTTTCAGTTTCCACAAACAATGTTCGTGTATTGTTTATCTCTCGGTCAATTGGATCTGTACAGGTAGAAACATGTTTTTGTAAAGAAAATATCAAAATGTAAATAATAGACTTCAAATTAGTGATATTATTATATATATATAATATATATTGTCATTTCAGTATTGATAACATTTGATTTGGATATATGTACATTGTTCAATACAATTGTCGTAATTCATCATTAATGTATAGCTTCTATAAACACACGAATGTGGTTATGTAGAATGTCCAAGCAACAGAGGACCATTAAATATAGATAGTAATACCAAGTATTAGAAGAAAACAAAAGTGTTGATGACAAACATCCCACGTTTATGTAAAACTTAACACCAAAACACATCCGATTGCCTGCACCTGTCCACACAGTAGCGATACGCTTGATTTTGACACTTTCAAGGAGATCGTTTAAACTCCGTGAACCATTATGTCTGTCGATATTATTATGTCTGCCCAAAGTACAGTTGCGGTCTACTTGGTTTAATCATTGTGTGTGTATGAACTAGTGACACGGCGTCTGCAACCTGCGGTGAGTCTAAGGGAATGGCATTCTGCAATCTGGCAGACGTTAAGACACGTTCTATGTATAACCTTCTTTTTTATGATTATATGAAGATTCTGCTACCTTTATCAAGCAAGTGATTAATTTCAGGGTGACACGTATGCTACCTACAAATGGGGGTTTATACTCACTGCCAAAGTCTGTTGCACTCCTTTCCATTAAGGGAACTAAAACATAGAATATGTCCGGATCAGATAAATAATGGTACGATCCCTGTCCTAGTCATAACCAAACTGTGTTATAAGTTGGTACTTGCGTTACTCTGCCTGGCACTAGACACTAAGGGCACAAAACAAGGACCGGTCGGCTCGGAGCAGTATACTCCACCTGAATATTGTATTCATGTTAAAACTGCACCGTAAAAGGCGAATAACGGGATGGGGTGGTCAGGCTCGCTGACTTGGTTCATCCATGTCATCGACCCCGATTGCGTGGATCGATGCTCATGATATTAATCACTGGATTGTCTGGTCCAGACTCGATTATTTACAGACCGCCGTCATAAAGCTCGAATATTGCTGAACGCGGCGTTAAACAACAAACAAACAAACAAACCAACCAACCAACGTAAGAACGCACGTGAATGTACGTCGCTATATAAGTGCAACAATCTAAAACGCGACCTTCAATCCCAATTTCATCTCACCTCAAAAGGCATCAGTGGACATAAATAAACCAGAGCTATCATTTTAATTTACAGTAAGCATGTACAAGTGCCACTATCACTTACATTGACCATGTGAGTGAGTGAGTGAGTATGGTTTTACACCGCTTTAAGCAATATTCCAGCAATATCAAGACGGTGGACATCAGAAATGGGCTTCTCACATTGTACCCATGTCGGAAATCGAACACGGGTCTTCGGCGTGACGAGCGAATGCTTTAACCTCTAGGCTACCCGACCGCCCCTTGACCAATGTGACACAACAAGAATCAGAGTACCAATAAAAGTAGTGTTTTCCTTGTATTCACCAAAACTGAAAGAGTGTATCAGTGTACACGTAAAAAAGTAGCACTTCACTTATATTCACCAACGTGAAACAAAGTAATGCGTAGGAAATTAATGCCAAGGAAAACAGTTCATAACTTTGAAAAGATCGAATGATACCGGTGTCTAATACAACTACATCTGCTAAAACGTGTTTGCATATGGCTCAGAATATGTTTTGACAGCATCAGTCTATGGTATGCAAGTTTGGCTTGATGCTACCAACTAACCCTAATACACAAGGTGCATCTCGTCCCAATATACATACCCACTGTTAAAGGATCAGATCAACTTAGAGTGTCTTATGACATCAATATAATATCAACGTTACGAGTTAATCTGCGCTGAGCAATAGTCAAGTTAATTTCATATACTAACTGTCTTCCGGGGACCTGTAAACAAAAACAGGAGCACAATTACAATGGATGGATGACTCTTGTGTTAAACATACAATATGTACAACATAATATCAGGGAATACTGGTCTCTTATCCCAGCTTCATATTCCGATGGTGCATACCATGAACGATGTATGTTAGATCAGAAATTAAAAAATATGGAGATATGAAAGTAAAGAAAGGCAGGCTCTTTAGTGGTAATATTTCACGAGACATATTAGCCGTCGTGACGTGATATCTTTGCATAATCATTGGTCTTGATATTACCTGCCATGGCCGTTTTTTCTTCTCTTTTTCCGTTTTCTTCTGCAAAAAATCACAATTATTAGAGTGGTTGAAATTCAATTTTAAACTATGACGAGTATCTTAATAATTAATATAATTCCTCGTACTTACTGGTTCTTACTGGTATTATTAAAAGATAAAGCTAGGAACACGGAATATTCAATTCATTAATGAAAAATATATTTGGTATAATACCAACAGATGGGAATGAAATCTCGACCCTGAAACTAAGGGTAAAGTGTTCCTCGTGAATAGACATAACGCTATTGGTTCCTATATTGATAGATGCCTTATTCATTCAGCTGTAGACTTACACTATGAATGCCACCACTGCGACTGTGACCAGGCAGATGATGATGATGATGATGATGATGATGATGATGATGATGGGGACAATAATTGCAACGAGATCCGTAGGTTTCTCTGTGGCAGACGCCCCTGATGTAGATGTCTCTGTCCATGACATTGTATGTGCCTTCACCACTATTGGCTAACACAAGCAAAAGCAAAACCAAATAAGTCTTGGAATATGTTTGTCTGTTTACTTCCAGACATTGTCTCTGAAAAAAAGCCAAACAAGTTATTCTTCTCACAGAATATATGTTTCGGTGGCTATGCATATTGTGTTGATTGTAGTCCATTTTATAGAATTAACTGTCGAATGCATTCATTCATGAAATATAACCCATTATCCTTGTGAGTGGTTATTTAAATAGAAAGCGTTTAAAATAGAACCGAAGCCATGAGCTATTTGAGCAGATTGAGCACAACTAAAACATTACTATGTCATAATACAATAAACAGGTAATGGATAGTTCACAAGAATCTTAAAATGCATCAGTCTGTAGCTAACACTATTTGTTAACCCCAACATACATTCAAACACATAACTGCAAAGACACTTGACCAGTTAAACTATCACCATGGCAGTTTCAGATGGCGATTGAGTATGGCTAAACGCTGCTTTGAACAGTATTCCAGTTATATCACGGCGTGTCAGCTTAATGTGGGAAGAAAGCCCCGATGTGATTTAGCTATGTCTCATATGTTGACGCTTTTTTAGTATTTCAATAAAATTCAAGCACACCCTTGGAGTTATTTGTGTGAATACACCAGTAATTAATTAAGGATTGAAGTGGTATATTGTTCATCAGCTGATGAAGCCAGTGCCTCACGTGAGCTAATTCCATGATGCCCTAACTATATCAACGCGGAGAGTCGTGACATCATTCGTCCCAAACATTCCATTTGGAGTGACATCCCTTAGTTTTACAAACGGCGGAAAAAGGCTACGACAATGTCCTTCGCTTGAATTAAAAGTTGCACCAAGTAAAGTTTGCGTTGGAAAGAAATCCAGAACCGGCAGATGCTGAACATGGATTGATAATCCCGTGATCTTTGGTTGTGTGTTTGAGTCATACTACTGCTGCTTATGACGGGGATTACTGCTTGAGGCGGCGTGGTTGAATTTCCAGAAGCAATACACGACAGTGTGGTGCTCGGTGATTTCTTTTGGTAGGTCGACCATTCTCTGTTATAGCTTCGAATGGATGCTTCATTCGGGTGACCCGACATGCACATGATCTGTCTGGCTTCAAAGCCTGCATCATTCATAGTCTGAATCGATGTCGCGCTCAGTTTCCCCTATCATTTTTAATGTTATTTTTTTTATAAATTGGGGAATTCTCCTAAAGTTGTTCTGTATGTCTCCGCTCGATTGACAACGTAAGCACGTGACATACTTACTTTCATCGGTAAATGAATGACAGTCACCTTGTTAGTGTTCGCCTGGCCGAGGTCTCCCGCTACTGTCAATATTTCCACTTGCATCTACCAATACTGTCCTGCCTTGACATTTTAGAATCATGCACTCGGAACTGGTTTGGAGCTTAAAATATGAAATCTGCATAATCGAGTGTACCACGTATTTCTAACTTTGGCTTTGTGAAATAATGTATTATGTTTCTTGTATTTCAAAGTATGACGATTATCTTATCAAATTTAAGCACTCCACTACAACCATACCTGAAGTGATGTTGCAATAATCCCCGCTGTATGTACCACTGCAGCCTATTGTGCATTGTCCGTTTCCCTGATTGCAGGTTTTGTGCAGACAGCCTCCGCTGCAAAGCATATTACACTGATCGCCATGATGGCCTGGCACGCATCCCTCAGAACACTTCCCAGTGTACTTTTGACAGTGCCGGAGGTTTCTTACAGGATCAGTGTTACAGGTCAAAGGGCAGTTCTTGTCGCAGTTCTCGCCATATATTCCCCAGGGACATTGCTGGCCGCCATAGGCTGGTGATGCTGGAATAGGATTATACTTGACATAGTATATATCAGACAACGAAGAATGTACTTTTACTTTGTGTGAGTCCATTGCAGTATGGACCTTCAGAGAGTGGTGGCCAAACCGTGAACGTCAGAACTCATACAATGTTTTACCGAGTGAGTGAGTGAGTGAGTGAGTGAGTGAGTGAGTGAGTGAGTGAGTGAGTGAGTGAGTGAGTGAATGAGTGAGTGAGTGAGTGAGTGAGTGAGTGAATATTTAAAGACACACCAGCAATATTTTATACCCTCTATAAATGCTTATAATTGTTTATATCACCAGTGTATACCTCGATGTACGTATTACACAGTTTCGTAAAGTATATGTCATTTCATGTTCACATTGACAGACATACAACAACCTACCAACCAACCAACACGTTTTCCTAGTTCCTAGTACCATTTAATGAAAAAGGCCTCTTAAATCACTGTATCAGTAAGTTAGTTCAAGTGACAGCACGTCATACTACATGTACACCAATAAGTTGACGTCAAAAATGGCCTTGACAGGTGAGATTTCCGAAGTTGTTCATGAACCAGTGCCGATTCCAAGAGTCAGTCATCATTGACTAATTGCCCAATCATTGACAGGTCATAACAAATTGTAAATGTACTCACTGATCAACAACAGAAGTATTTGTGGCCACATCTTTGAGAGTTGTCTGGCTGTAACAATACCTGTTAGAAAATAAATTTACAGAAACTTCAAAAACATGGAGCTGTGCAGAAATTGACAATCACGATTAAATGTGTGATTTTGATGAATAATGTAATACTATGTTACTATGTCCTACAAAAAAGTCATGTCGTTCTTTCTGCAATCTGTTCAGTACTAGTAACATAAACAACAACCTGCAATATTTTTAAAATATTGTAATAACAATGACTCCCTGAATAGAATCCGACCTCGGAAAAGTCGGACAAGTCTATTTTAAATATGGTATTTCCCGTACATTCTAAAGATCCTCAGGCCGATTATCTGTAGCTTTTCCCCTGTTACCAATTGTCATGTATATCCTACTTTTTGATGCGATCGTTCGGCCACTGGGTATATCTGCGAACCGATCTAAAAAATAACGTCTTCCAAAACAGTAAATCTTAGAATTAACGTGAGCGTGAACAATAAGTGCCTCGCTGCGCTCTTTGAATAGCGGAAATACCAACTTGGATATAAACATAAACAGGGTTTACTAAGCAGCATTTACGACAAGTGAATAACGATGTCATTCAAAGAATAGCAATTACACAATAGGCATCCCGTGAGTTATCACTGCTGGGGTTAAGAGTTCTAACCACTCGTGTCAAACAGGGCATCATTGACCATCCCAGCAGTCCAGACAGACGCCACCAACGCAACACGTCGTAAAAGCCAACACAACCCTGCACACACTGATAGGCTTCATCACACTCCGCAGATCTACAGCCGTTGTCTTGTCATCTGCCTTCAAGTTTGTTGGCACCTTATCCGCATTCCAGTCAGTGAACTGTTGTTTGCTCAATTATCGGATAGCCTTTGAACAGAATAACCATATAAACCGTCTGTTGTTTTTGTTTATTGTTTTTACTTGGGGACTTTATTTAGTCTCAACTGAAACTATGCATACGTCAAAACAAAACAGCTTTTCACTCAAGTTATGTTCACAAATTACTAAAAGTAAATGTTTCCTTCTGCACTAGAATGATCACCGAAACAAGCTGTGTTGTGTTTTCCTGGTGACATGGAATATGAAAGTCGGCACAAAATTAAAACCCGTATTTCTTGAAACTGAACTCAGATATTAGGTCACTTCACTGATGTTCGTGTGTCCAGTTGCACATTGTTTATAGGCTACCTTATTCCCCTGTGCGTTTGGTTTGTGTTTATTGCACATAGAAGAAAATAATGGTGGTTTTGGAGCTGTTGGCAATCGCTGGCATTGTTATGTCCATACAAGGTAAATCCAGTTAATGCACTATCCAGTGTTGCATAACAATGTTATTAGTTTATGCTATTGTTTACCTTACATCACGGCTATTGACATAACTATCACAGGTACATATGTACAATTTTTATTGACAAATCTCTTCCAGCTGCACCTTGCGGAGAAGGGCAGCACTGCTCTGACTGTGATAACAAGACGGGACATTGCCTCAAAGAGTGTGACCTTGGATATTTCGACCTGAAGTGCAGCTCCGTTTGCAGCAAGGAGTGCAAAAATGGCATGTGTCACACATCAACAATTGGCATTGGCGTCTGTACCAATGGATGTGCACCTGGATACCAAGGAAGTAGATGCCTCATACCATGTGACAGTTCAGTCAGTGAATGTACGTCTTGTCATCCTGGTTGTAATGGAGGATATTGTCAGCTGAGCTTCTCCTGTGTGTCTGGATGCATTGATGGATACTACGGCACTGACTGCAAGACGTGTTCAGGTAGATGTAGATCATGCAACAAGAGATCAGGAACATGTACGGAGTGTCATCCGCCATATTTTGGCCTGAACTGTGAGTATTCATGTGATCGCTGCAAGGAACCATGTGACTTTGGATGTCTCCATGGATGTGTACCTGGATTTCATGGCATGTTCTGTAGTAAGAATTGCAGTAAAAACTGTCGGGCAAACCACACTCATGTCAACCAAACATCTGATATCTCTGAATGCAACGAGAAGACTGGATACTGCATCTATGGATGTAAAGAAGGCTGGTTTGGTTCACAATGCTCCCATAAGGGTAAGTCTAAATTTGTTGTCACCATTGTCAATTGTTTTATTATCAAACAGTCTGCGGGCGCAACTCATCAAGTAATTGATGTACACTGATCCAGTGATTGACACATTGTTAACAGAAGAAGAATTGTCCCATGGACCGGATCAAATATGGCATTTTGGATTAACATTATAATAAATTGATGGGATATTTCTTCATTTCAACATAATATCGTGGGAAAAAAACAGTGCTTCAAATGAAGTTCCAAAAAATACATGTATTCTTAACTTAAGCAATACATTCAATACATATTCATGATGTCATTCACATCGGCTATAAGGTCGTCATTCCCAATTTGCACATGCATTTTACTGCACGCCACACAATTTGGATGAGTACGTGTTTGTTGGGCGCAGTTTGGTAATGTGAACAGCAAACGGTCCCTTAAACGGTTTAGGTAGCACAACATCCCGCCCCACTGTCTAGCGATACACCAAATTTTGTTACCACGTCACCATTAGGCAGCATCAGGGGTTTAGAAGGCAACCGTGGGACAGTTTAATGTTCATAGATGAATCTAGGTTTTGGATATGTCATATACATATATTCCCAAAACTCGAGAACGATCAAAAGAATAGCAATGTTCTATGCTGGTTTTCATTTGTTCAAATTGAAATTTGAAAATCATGTTGGTAAAGAAACGCACGGGCATTTATATCTTTCAGATGGGAAAACGCAAGTCACTGATGCTATGAAAATAGGACTACCAACAGCGCTATCACTTCTAGTATTAATGATCTTACTGGCAGTGTGCTATCACTTTCGGAAATCCTTGGGAATTGAACGGTAAGATCATTACAGAAGCAATGAGATAGCTCTGTGTTCCAAGGCTTATCCCATTGTCCCTGTCCCCATGTAGTGTTTGTAGTGCCCAAAACGCCGATTGTAAAACAATAGCGTCCCTGTTAAATATTGTCAAAACATAAACAACAGATATTATTGTAACAATAAATGTGTTCAACTTGTTTGGGATATTACAGATAAGATCACTGGACTAAAGCAGGCAATATATTACGGCATTGACTATTAACACATTCAACTGGCACTGAATTAAATCTGAATGAACTTAAATTACTTTATATAATATTGGTTAAGATGTTTAAGGAAATATCTGAAATGGAAATGTACAACATGTTGTTTTTTTCCAAAGTTTCTAAATGGATGTTAACTTCAGCGCTATGACTTCTACAAACTACGATTGTACAATAAAAATATTGGTAAATTAACATTTTTTTTATAAATGTAAAATGTTACGGTGGTTTGATAAATGAATCTAGCTTCTGATAAAGAAGTCTCACAATCATTGTGTGCGATATGGCAACTGATCAGGATTAATACGAAAATATTACAAACGAATTGGTTCATCTTGTAAACATTACTTTGCGCGTGACATTCCTGTATGGTCCACATGCTGTAAGTATTTATACTATATATTCTCACAGCAGGGGCGTCCAGGCAGACAACCCTGTCGTAAAAATTGTGCGTGGATACAAAGACAGTCATGCAGTTGAGTACCACGGGTATTGTGAAATTCTGGCGGACGACATCAACAGAAGCGAACCACCAACCATCAACCGAGGACAAGGAAGGGATTCTGCAATGCCTGTTTTGGCAGACTGTTTCCCTGCCGCAGGTCACGTTCCAGGAGGTCCACCACACGCCCGTCCAGTGCGTGATGACCCCGGAATAGCTGTCAACTACATATCACCAGTTAAGTGACAGTGGACAGGAAATGTTTACAGCAACCGTACAGTTCTCCTTGTTCAGGAACACTCACACGAAATGTGTTCTACATGCATTTGATACCAGTTTTATTGATCTCCCATTTGTTGATCTTATGTTTGAGAAAAGTACTAGTATCGGTACTGACATGGTACGTTGAACGAATAAGATGTGTTTAATAAATCAGTCAATATCGTCTTCATTGTCACTACAGACGCCTTCAAAATGTCACTGATATCATTTGTTTGTTTGTTGTTCAGGAATATTCCAGCTATATGACGGCGGTATGTAAATAATCGAGTCTGGACCAGACAATCCAGAAACACAATTGGGATACGATGACATGCATCAACCAAGTCAGTGAGCCTGACCCCCGATCCTGTGAGTTGCCTCTAACGACAAGCATAGTCGCCTTTTACGGCAAGCATGGGTTGCTGAAGACCTATTCTACCCCGCATCTTCACGGGCCCACTGATACCAAAGTGACGTGTGTTATTCAGCATAATTGTGAGAGTGTGACAATTATATTCGGAATCATTCCGAGCCATCACGTCAACCCCATCAACTACAGGAGACGTGCATACGTTCCTTGTCACTTGTATTAATGTACCCTCGGATATGATCAGCATCCTTAATATAGATTTGTGATCAAATTGTCATAGACACCATTGCTGAAAATAGTACATCACACATGAATTTAACTTTTGGAATATTTCAAGTTTCGATTACCCATACATATTACGCATCAATACATTTTGGTAACAAGTGCTGTAAACACCCTGACGTCTTTCATACCTTTTCACGATCATACAAATAGCGCGGACCACAACAGACAACATTCAGGTGATGGTCCTTTGTAGTGTGTAGTGAGTTCGTTTGTTGGTGTATGATGACATTGTACAACACGCAAGCAGTATTCTGTTGACCTTCACTCTACTTGACCTACTCTCACACGGCAAAGTAAATGTTTCCCTGTCTCGCATTATCGCTGATGGGATACACTAGATGACAGACATGTTTATATTGTGTTGTTGATAAGGCCTTGGGACATAATAGTTTGTATGAGTGAGTGAGTGAGTGAGTGAGTGAGTGAGTGAGTGAGTGAGTGAGTGAGTGAGTGAGTGAGGTTAAGACATAGTTTATATCACATGCATATTTTCACAAGAATTGTTAAAATTATCCCCAAAAAGTGACCCATCAACACACATTTAAAAAATTTACTATTTTTACATGGTGACATGTGTGACAGTCAGCAACACCACATTCAATCCCACTTACCACCCTCCCTCTGAATCAGCAACACTCACAATCAATCCCACTTACCACCCTCCCTCTCAATCAACAACTCCACATTCAATCCCACTTGCCACCCTCCCTCTCAATCAGCAACACCACATTCAATCCCACTTGCCACCCTCCCTCTCAATCAGCAACACCACAATCAATCCCACTTACCACCCTCCCTCTCAATAAGCTACACCACAATCAATCCTACTTGCCACCCTCCCTCTCAATCAGCAACACCACAATCAATCCCACTTAACACCCTCCCTCTCGATCAGCAACACCACAATCAATCCCACTTACCACCCTTCCTCTCAATAAGCTACATCACAATAAATCCCATACACCTCCTCTTTCAACCCCGCACCTCTCTACCTCATCAAAGCACTCCTTGGCCTCCACCGGACACCATCCGACGCCACCCCACCCTATCCGACGCCACCCCACCCCACCACACCCCACCACACCTCACACCACCCAACTGCGCACCTGCCCACCTCCCTCCCTCATTATCCAGCTCAAATTCATATCGTCGAATGCTGACGCTGCACTTCCTCAACAAGAACCAAAACCTATCACATCAGTATTTCAACAACAAAGCACACCGTCACAGTGTTGCGAAACTTCTCGGTTTTCCGCGTCGGGCGTATTCCCCGAGAATACTGTGTGGTCGTAGCCTACTGTGTGTGGGGTTCACGGGTAGCTGCAGTCAGGGAACAAGATCGGGTACTGTCACAAATACCATTATCAATATTACAGGCTGGTTATAGAAATAATGGATATTAATAAACAAATATATATGAATTACAATCGTTTGTGTTTCTATATTTTTTCGTTTATTGCTTAAAACCTTCTACCCCTCTGGGCGAGTCTACTCGTTCCGAGTTTTCAGGCGGCATGATATGCAAAGTCAGGTGACATGACTTTTCCAGTGACCCATTGTGATCTTTGAAATCACTTGCTCTTAATAACGGAGAGTGTTATCAGAGTCGCGAAATGCTATACTTGAATCGACGTGCACTGACAATATGTTATGTATTATTCATTCAGAAGGACAAAGTTCAAACAGAGAGGATGTATTTTATAGGACACTCTATTTCCTACATAGTATTTTGCAGTTTGATAACTTTACTGTTGCTGAAAGCGATTTTAATACATTGGCATAATTCCAAATGTAACCCGTTAGAGATAAAAAATGGCAGTAGCTATTATTAATATCAGTTACCATATTATACATTATGAGAGGTCAAACGGGTAACACATTGTAAATGTACGGGGGCACGGGTGGCCCAGTCGTCTAAGGCGCCGTGATTCGCTGTGCCGAGTTGCGCCCCTTGGGCACGCCAGAAACCTATGAATGTGGGTTCGAGTCCCGGTTCGCCCCGATTATGTTTCTAGGTTTGTCAGCACCATACCCGTGCTCGTGGGTTTCACCGAAGTGGTAAACGTCGAAGACCTGCATTACTTCGGACTTTTCTCCCACATTAAGCTGACACGCTGCGTGAAACACAACTCACTCACTGTAAATGTACGAACAACACAAAAGGCCATAGACAGACGCGGGCACTTGTTTATACATTAAACTAGGTGTATAACGAACATGCTTATAACGATCTGGCGGATATAACGAACTGTTTTTTAGGTCCCTGCCATTTGCTGTATATATGTTGTATATATGCTTATTACGAACTACAGTTAAAACGAACTAAAATTTGTGGTCCCTTTGAGTTCGCTTTAGCCGTAATTTACTGTATATTCCTATAAAACAATGTTGGTCAATTTCAGGTTACAGGACAAGGGGGCTAATTTATGAAAAAAAGTGTGACCACTCTTTCGGTCGCGTAACATTTGTATTGTTTAACTGTCAAATTGATTACTTAACACTCCCCATCTGACGCCTACAAAGACGCTGAAGACCACCAAATGCTGCCAATATGAAATCTGGGCTCATCTGTGATGAGGACTGACCGCTCAGATTTGGCCCTCCACTAAGATGCTTTTCACACTTAAAACATTTCAACTATTTTCTCCTGGTTTATATATTGACTCCCACGTGTACTGTAGATGTGATGAATGTGGGTAATCATGGGAAATGTTTACCATGCATGATTCTGAAAACCAAATGGCAAAATTAATTTAATGTGATTGTTTATGGTTCACGGGATTTTGTTTTTGCTTGAATATGTCGATGTTTTGAGGTGTATCATTTGCAGCATAAACTCAAATCCAGCGCTGATATGCATCACCCCGAATGCGCTAATACACTCAAGGTGGGGTCAAAGCGGAAAAAACCCAATACATTTCAATAAATATATTACGGAGGACACCGTGCCATGAAGATCGACCGATCGAGAGCAGTCGTAAGTTCATTAAGCACATTATAAACAGTGCTGATCCCTGCTTTTCCAGTACATCCCTGTTCCTGTACATGTCCCAAGCCCTGTGTTAGAAGACGAGACGTGATGAAGTAACGTTTGTGTGTCAAAGTAATGATTATATACTGTACTTACCGGATATATGCTTCACTGCCGTTGATGATGTCCGCCCCTTTTCCTTCACACTGCCGGAGATATGACACAACATGCTACGGGTACAGTTGGTTCTAGCCCGGTGCACACGTCAAGGGGAGATTTATGATTTATGATTCTCTAGTCAAATCTGGCTTCATTATACAGGATCTATTCAACTATTAATACCCTGAATGATAAAACGCTATTGATAATTTTTTAGGGCGACCATGTTCCTTTTTGTCAACTGTGGTGCATTATTGTTCCGTGATTTGTAATACGGCCTATGCAGTTACGCCGTGTTGCTTCACTTTTAGTTTCCAGGTGAGCTGTGTGAACAATAGAAGGGAACGTAGCTCGCCATGTCCAACCAGGAAGTAACAGATCTGCACGTCATTGTCGAGCCTCTTTCCTCGAAACGTGGTCGTGCCTACTATATGTGGAGTCGGCTATCAGTGTTGTTAGCTCGAAGTACATTCAAACTGTGTAATGTGCATTGAATGTGTTAATTTCGTGAAGTATAACTGGCTTATCTGCAAGTTTGAGATCGCACCTTAGATTTCCATTGGTGTGTACGATGTGGCAGATATTGTTGATATGCTTCACAAAATTGAGTCAGTTGGGTTTAACGCCGCTTTTAACAGTATTCCAGTTATATCACAGCGTGCCAGCTTAATGTGGGAGAAAGGCCCGAAGTGATGCAGGTCTCAGACGTTTACCACTTCGGTGAAATCCACGAGCACGGGTATGGTGCTGACAAACCTAGAAACATAATTCAGGCACACTGGGAATAGAACCTGCAATCATAGGTTTCTGGCGTGTCCAAGGGACGCAACTAGGCTCAGCAAATCGCGGCGCCTTTGTCGACTGGGCCACCCGTGCCCCCGCTTCACAAACTTCTCCATGTGGATGACGAACAAAATGCAACATCGTTAATTCCCATGATACGCTTACTAGTTTATCCGAACAGATCAAAACACGTTTATGCTAAAGTGAGTGAGTGACTATAGTTTTGCGCCGCTTTGAGCAATATTCCAGCAAAATAACGGCGGGGGACACCAGAAATGGGCTTTACACATTGTATCCATGTCGGGAATCGTACCCGGGTCTTCAGCGTTACGAGCGAACGCTTTAACCATTAGTGTTTTGTCACACTAAAGAATACGAATACAAAAGGGATGTGATAAAAAAACACCCCCAGTTAATGTTATTGGTTATCAGAAACTTGTGATTCAACAGGACACACAGAACATAGGATGTAATGGCACACACGTGTATAGAAGCACTACCAGGCGTGAAGAGAACCGAGAGCAAGGAGGATGGAGAAAGGGAAATGTGACAGGGACATAGCAGAACAGACCCGTGAAGATCTGGGGTAGAATAGGTCTTCAGCAACCAATGCTTGCCGAAAAGGCGACTATGCTTGCCGTAAAAGGTGACTAACGGGATCGGGTGGTCAGGCTCGCTGACTTGGTTGATGCAGGTTATCGATCCCAATTGCGTGGATCGATGCTCATGATATGAATCACTGGATTGTCTGGTCCAGATTCGATTATTTATAGACTGCCGTCATATAGCTGGAATATTGCTGAGTGCAGCGTAAAACAACAAACAAACAAACATAGTAGAACAGATAATGACACACTGTTATGTACAACATAATAACATTAAAAGAACACAGTACACAGGTTCCATATACAGACATATTCATACAATGCAAAGCAAGCACTTGTTTCATTTAAGCATATGTCCATATTCCACACACAAAGGTGAAATTCATTATCAGTGATGTATGACGGTATTATCCTAGCCATAAAGAAAAGAAATATTTCACCAAGGGGCGATAACTCGATCCTAATATTAAGTTACATTATAAACATGGTGCATTGTTGTCAAGTCCTATTTCTATTACAAGAACAATTACTGCCTTCTGGTTACTATTATATTAATTACATATCTGATCATAATCTCTACTTCATTTATTTTTTTAGAGACGTGACAGACATGTAAATTAGCAGCACCCTGTGGGTGACCCCGGGGTGTTAATCCTCTCAAGGCAGCCCCCTTGTTTTGAAGCAGCAATAACCATACTCCTATATATATGCAATGTACTATATATATGGAATAAATGTGGAATATAATACAATTATAGTATTAAAGCATAACACTGAATGCTAACAAACAATATACATATGAAAATCCACATACAGTCAATAAACATCCACACACACAAATAAAAAGAAACATGAGAATCATTTAAATTATTTATTTAGCCTGATTTTATCAGTAATTTGGCAACATGACGACATCATCACCATACGTGCGAAATATTAGCATTTTAAAGATAGTGAAACAACATTAGACAGAATTTATGAAGTTTATGTTAATATAGAAATAAAAGCGTAGATATAAGTTAGCAATTTTATATACTGAACCGCAAAAGCAACTTCACCCGATGTAGCATTGCTTGAAAAGTTGTAATTAAATATCTTGGTAATTTTTGTCAAAGTTTCTAAAATCTAACATTACCTTAAAACCGATGGCCCAAACGCATAACGACAACGGCCATGGTAACCTGTTGTGCGTGGGGTCCATGCAAATTGAAAAGCACATGCGTTCCCCAATTTCTTGCCCTATAAAAATCCACCCAGATCGGATAACATTCATTCGTTATTGAATTGCTACCACATGCCAAGATTGACAAGAAATCAGCGACACCAAGGCCTTGGACGATTGCAAGCTTGACAAACCACCCGGCGAGTAGTAATTGTATTATTCAATCCACAAGCAACGTGGAAGTTAAAACTGTCTCCTCCTTGCTTGTGTTAAGGTAAGGAAGTTGAGGAAACTGCAACACACTATCGGGACGTTTGATGTTACTTGTTTACAACAGGCTTTTCAGCAAATATAAACCATATTAACGGCAGACAAATATTCGCATTACGTCACGTAACCATATTAACATTGTGTCACACCAAACAAAAAGGTCATGTGAAGATACGAGACAGCTCACCTTGGAGTACATTATATACTCGCATATTATGTTAACACAACTAAAGTTTAATGTGGATATGTAATCAATATGTGGGGTGTTACTTATTGCAATACGGTTGTACTCCTATTCTGGTCAGTGAAATTACGTAGATGTGACTTGTTGGCATCAATACAGTCTGTGTGCATATACATCATCATAATCATTAGTGTTAAAGACTGAATTTTCTGATGTTGAGAAAAGTGACATTTTGATTTCCTACACTTGACATTCACTGCAGTGAACACAACACTTTCACGGAACTATTGTCATGCACGACTTACCTTCCCGCAAAGTACTAGTATATCCCCCTTATCGTTAATGCCCCTCCAAAAACTGTTAACTTCATGTTTACGTTAGTTCCGCATTAACAACACAAAATAATGACACAGGACATTTATGGAGTTAATATCGCTGAATCTGATGTTGTATATAATCATATGCAATTGTATGATAACTAACTTTATTGACCTCAAATATGTTTTTTGTTACTTTTGTGAATACACGGAACTACTTTTTATAACGCAATTACTAGAGGTGCTGAAACATCCCTGCGTGTTAGGTAGGAACAATTTACGTTTCAAGGTTTTACAAATGAAGGGAAATAATTTAATTTTCCGACAGACATTACACAAAAAGCATATAATAAAGGAGATTGTTTCACTCTCTTATTAAGTGTCCTACATTTAACTTGTTTCCGCGTTTTGTCAGTTACACTGTCAATAAATGTTATTTGGTGAATGTAGCTAGTCGTGGATAGGCTGTAAATTGTATTGTATTTTTTTCAACTTATAGTGCAGAATGAGTACTTGAAAAAGGAGTGAGTGAGTTGGGTTTAACGGCGCTTTTAACAGTTTTACAGTCATATCACAGCGTGTCAGCTTAATGTGGGAGGAAAGGCCGAAGTGATGCATGTCTCAGACGTTTACCACTTCGGTGAAACCCACGAGCACGGGCATGGTGCTGACAAACCTAGAAACATAATCGGGGCGAACTGGGATTCGAACCCACAATCATAGGTTTTTGGCGTGCCCAAGGGACGCAACTCTGCACAGCGAATCGTGGCGCCTTAGACGACTGGGCCACCCGTGCCCCCTTGAAAACGGAAAATACTGAGATGAATCGTACCTGACTCGTTAAACTCATCGCCAGGGTAGGGTCAGACGAACCAACTACAATAAGGTGGGCGAATAAGAATAATGATCTGGGATTCGAACCCACGATCATAGCACCATGGCCTACCTAAAGAAAACATCTGTGTATATCACACTGTGGACATTCCTGTAATTTGAAACCTATTCCCTATAGTCGTGAACTGTAGAATTGATCTGTTGTTTACGTCTAAACCTATTCCCTATAGTCGTTAACTGTAGAATTGATCTGTTGTTTACGTCTAAACCTATTCCATAGAGTCGTGAACTGTAGAATAGATCTGTTGTTCCCTATAGTCGTGAACTGTAGAATAGATCTGTTGTTTACGTCTATTTTAAACCTATTCCCTATAGTCGTGAACTATCTGTTGTTTACGTCTATTTGAAATTGAAGTGTGACATGGGCTTATTGAATTCGTATCTTTTACCAGAAGATATGAGGACTCACTGATCTAAAGTCTTCTCTTTACGAGTTTGGAGTTTCTATAAATGCTTTGTTTTTAACCATGTTCGTCCAGTGCCCTGTGTTGTATTTGTTATTAACACAAATAACGCAGAGTTCATTATGTATACTGTCTGGCTGAACATTGACAGTCCTCCATCCTGGTGCTGGACTTCTGAGTGTGACGTTAAACATCAAACAACACATTGCAAGTAGACCCACCGACCCAGCCTCCCAATCACTACAACGCCCATCCAGCCTCCCCATCACCACAACATCCACCCAGCCTCCCCATCACCACAACACCCACCCAGCCTCCCCATCACCACAACGCCCACCCAGCCTCCCCATCACCACAACGCCCATCGAGCCTCCCCATCACCACAACGCCCACCAAGCCTCCCCATCACCACAACGCCCACCCAGCCTCCCCATCACCACAACGCCCACCCAGCCTCCCCATCACCACAACGCCCGACCAGCCTCCCCATCACTACAACGTCCACCCAGCCTCCCCATCACCACAACGCCCACTCAGTCTCCCCATCACCATAACGTCTACCCAGCCTCCCCATCACCACAACACCCACCCAGCCTCCCCATCACCACAGCACCCACCCAGCCTCCCCATCACCATAACGTCCACCCAGTCTCCCCATCACCACAACGCCCACCCAGCCTCCCCATCACCACAACGCCCGACCAGCCTCCCCATCACTACAACGCCCACCCAGCCTCCCCATCACCACAACACCCACCCAGCCTCCCCATCACCACAACGCCCGACCAGCCTCCCCATCACTACAACGCCCACCCAGCCTCCCCATCACACAACACCCACCCAGCCTCACCATCACCATAACGTCCACCCAGTCTCCCCATCACACAACACCCACCCAGCCTCCCCATCACCATAACGTCCACCCAGTCTCCCAATCACCACAACGCCCGACCAGTCTCCCCATCACTACAACGCCCGACCAGCCTCCCCATCACCACAACGCCCACCCAGTCTCCCCATCACCACAACGCCCACCCAGCCTCCCCATCACTACAACGCCCACCCAGCCTCCCCATCACCACAACGCCCACCCAGCCTCCCCATCACCACAACACCCACCCAGCCTCCTCATCACCACAACGCCCACCCAGCCTCCCCATCACCACAACGCCCACCCAGCCTCCCCATCACCACAACGCCAACCCAGCCTCCCCATCACCACAACGCCCACCCAGCCTCCCCATCACCACAGCACCCACCCAGCCTCCCCATCACCACAACGCCCACCCAGCCTCCCCATCACCACAACGCCCACTCAGCCTCCTCATCACCACAACGCCCACCCAGTCTCCCCATCACCACAACGCCCACCCAGCCTCCCCATCACCACAACGCCAACCCAGCCTCCCCATCACCACAACGCCCACCCAGCCTCCCCATCACCACAGCACCCACCCAGCCTCCCGATCACCACAACGCCCACCCAGCCTCCCCATCACCACAACACCCAACCAGCCTCCCCATCATCACAACGCCCACCCAGCCCCCCCATCACCACAACGCCCACACACTGATCTGAGCCACAACGCCCACACACTGATCTGAGCCACAACGCCCACACGCTGATCTGAGCACTGAGAATATACTCACACTTGTTCGTATGCCACGCTTGAAACTGACTGTATAATGGGAGACAACTCTGTTTGCCCTACTTGATGGGCCTCGCGAGTGTGATGCAGGAAGGCCACCTGGGCCCTGTTTCACAAAGCGATCATAGTCGTAAGCCTTTGTTTAAGTAGGGGAGTTACGGTCATCATAACGCTACAATTGCTTTGTGGAACCGGGCCCTGACCTGTTATGCTTCTGATAGGGTCTTTTTCTTTTTTCTGGATAACTTTGTTGTACTCTGTGATACTTCAGCAATCCACGCTTGCCGTAAAAGGCGACTATGCTTGCTGAAAAGGCAACTAACGGGATCGGGTGGTCAGGCTCGCTGACTTGGTTGATTCATGTCATCGTATCCCAATTGCATGGATCGATGCTCGTGATGTCAATCACTAGATTGTCTGGTCCAGACTCGATGATTTACAGACAGTCGTCAAGTAGCTAGAATATTGCTGAGTGCAGCGTTAAACAACAAACAACAAACATACTCTGTGATAAATTGAACCGTGGATGAACGGGTTGGCAGATGTAGATGTACGGGTGGGCAGATGGGATGTAATGGTGGATAGATTGGGATGAACTGGCTGGAAGATGTGGATGTACGGGTGGACAGATGTGGGTATACGGGTGGGCAGATGTGGAAATATGGGTGGGCAGATGTTGATGTAGAGATGGACAGATGTGGATGTACGGATGGGCAGATGTGGATGTATGGGTGGGAAGATGTGTATGTACGGATGGACATATGTGGATGTAAGGTGGGCAGGTGTGGATGTACGGGTTGGCAGATGTGGATGTACGGGTGGGCAGATGTGGATGTACGGGTTGGCAGATGTGGATATATGGGTGGGAAGATGTGGATGTACGGATGGACAGATGTGGATGTACGGGTTGGCAGATGTGGATATATGGGTGGGAAGATGTGGATGTACGGATGGACAGATGTGGATGTACGGGTTGGCAGATGTGGATATATGGGTTGGCAGATGTGGATGTACGGGTTGGCAGATGTGGATATATGGGTGGGCAGATGTGGATATATGGGTGGGCAGATGTGGATGTACGGGTGGGAAGATGTGGATATATGGGTGGGCGGGTGTGGATATATGGGTGGGCAGGTGTGGATATACGGGTGGGCAGATGTGGATGTACGGGTTGGCAGATGTGGATGTATGGGTGGGCAGATGTGGATATATGGGTGGGCAGATGTGGATGTACGGGTGGGAAGATGTGGATATATGGGTGGGCAGATGTGGATGAACGGATGGACAGATGTGGATGTAAGGTGGGCAGTTTTGGATATACGGGTGGGCAGGTGTGGATATATGGTTGGGCAGATGTGGATATATGGGTGGGGAGATGTGGATATACGTGTTGGCAGATGTGGATATACGGGTGGGCAGGTGTGGATATACGGGTGGGCAGGTGTGGATATATGGGTGGGCAGATGTGGATGTACGGGTGGGCAGATGTGGATGTATGGGTGGGAAGATGTGGATGTACGGATGGACATATGTGGATGTAAGGTGGGCAGATGTGGATGTACAGGTTGGCAGATGTGGATGTACGGGTGGGCAGGTGTGGATATACGGGTGGGCAGGTGTGCATATATGGGTGGGCAGATGTGGATATACGGGTTGGCAGATGTGGATGTACGGGTTAGCAGATGTGGATATATGGGTGGGCAGGTGTGGATATATGGGTGGGCAGATGTGGATGTACTGGTGGGAAGATGTGGATATACGGGTGGGCAGGTGTGGATATATGGGTGGGCAGATGTGGATGAACGGATGGACAGATGTGGATGTAAGGTGGGCAGTTGTGGATATACGGGTGGGCAGGTGTGGATATATGGGTGGGCAGGTGTGGATATATGGGTGGGCAGATGTGGATATATGGGTGGGCAGATGTGGATATACGTGTTGGCAGATGTGGATATACGGGTGGGCAGGTGTGGATATACGGGTGGGCAGGTGTGGATATATGGGTTGGCAGATGTGGATGTACAGGTAGGCAGATGTGGATGTAGGGGTGGGCAGATGTGGATGTACGGGTGGGTAGATGTGGATGTACGGGTGGGCAGATGTGGATGTACGGATCGGCAGATGTGGATGTACGGGTGGGCAGATGTGGATGTACGGGGGGGCACATGTGGATGTACGGGTGGGTAGATATGGATGTACGGGTGGGCAGATGTGGATGTACGGATGGGCAGATGTGGATGTACGGGTGGGCAGATGTGGATGTACGGGGGGGGCAGATGTGGATGTACGGGTGGGCAGATGGGGATGTATGGGTGGGCAGATGGTGATGTATGGGTGGGCAGATGTGGATATACGTGTTGGCAGATGTGGATGTACGGGTGGGCAGATGGGGATGTATGGGTGGGCAGATGGGGATGTATGGGTGGGCAGATGTGGATATACGTGTTGGCAGATGTGGATATACGGGTGGGCAGGTGTGGATATACGGGTGGGCAGGTGTGGATATATGGGTGGGCAGATGTGGATGTACGGGTGGGCAGATGTGGATGTAGGGGTGGGCAGATGTGGATGTATGGGTGGGCAGATGTGGATGTACGGGTGGGTAGATGTGGATGTACGGGTGGGCAGATGTGGATGTACGGGTGGGCAGATGGGGATGTATGGGTGGGCAGATGTGGATGTACGGATGGACAGATGTGGATGTACGGATGTACAGATGTGGATGTAAGGATGAACGGATAGAGAAGTGTTGTTAAGACGTGGATGTAAGGATGAAGGGATAGAGTAGTGGTGTTTAGATGTGGATGTAAGATGAAGAGATGCATTGTGGGTATGATGGTGAGGAGGGACATAGGGCTGTGGCGTTGTCAGATTGTCATGGTCCTTGCAGTGTCAGCTCATATGTTTCACAAAGGTGTAAACTTCCTCAAAATGCACCCCCATAAAGCTGGCTTACCGTAATACAACTCAAAGTGTATTGTTAACTAAACTCTACCCCTGTCAGCCACACAGTGAGTGCGGGACGAAGACAAACAACCTTATCACTGACTCGCGCTTGTGTCAATATCACGACAGCAGATCTGATCATTATTGAACTGTCTGGGCTCTAGTTTATTGCGTTTAGGGGAAAGTGGCGTGTAGTGCATGAGACACCACCCCAGTTCACTATGACCTTAACATGGTGACCATGCCAAATCATATTTGAAGTATTCTAGCACGAGTCACCTTGGTCAATTGGGTAGTGCAGCAACAGAAAGAGTGGGAATTGCTACAGACCAACTGGATGCTTTGTGTAAAGGTGATGTGTAGGTGACGGTGTCGGAACCAGCTTTCTTCGTGTTATTCTGGTTAGTAAAAACGTGGAACGTCCGACACAAATACTAAATGTTGTTTTAAACATATAGCATTCCCCAGAACACATATATAGAACTTGTATTGCAACAATAAAATGTAACTGTTGCGAAGAAGGGTTCTGGGCAGGATTTTCACGAGTGTAAGGGTCAAGTACCTTCTGAATTGTCTGACAGGAGGCTGCAGCTCCCTTATCTACACTCTAGGTCATTGATGTACACTCTAGGTCATTGATCTACATTCTAGGTCATTGGCATTGCCACGTCCAGGGTTACATCCCACATACATGTACGTAGAAATGCCTGAACTGAACGTCCCCCGTCCGTCCAACTGAAACTTGCTGTGCAGTTTTTCTCCTTCACGGTTATGTGTACAGTTCACAGTCTGCTCACGAACAATCTCATTGATAGTGTCATTCACTGTTGTTACAAGCAGCTCCCTACAACGCAAGTTTGGTTTCCAAGGCAACCTTACGAAATAAATTTTAGAAATGGAGATGATATGTTGTATCCAATATAAACCCCTTCAAGGAAACTTTTTCGGACAAGTCGAAAGACATATATCACGTACGACGTCCTCACACCATTTGTTGAGAGTTGGAATGAATTTGGACTTGTAATTTCAGAGGAGATATCAGCACTGATTGAAGGTCAGGCTCTCTCACTTCATCGAGTTTATGTTCAGTGTGATGAGAAATGAGCAACCCTGCAGTGACCACCTCTTGGTTGAAGTCAACTGGCCTGAAAAGTGAAACAGAAGGCTTTCTGTATGCAGCTCAGTGCCTGTCCATGTGTGATTTGCATAAAAAAGAAAATATTCTAAGAGCAATATTTGAGGGTCCCCCTAGATTTAATCAGATATGAAGTGTAAAAAAAATGACGTTGTGGAATTCAGTCTTTCTAGTAAAGTCAATATCTGGTCCTTGAGCGTGAGCATCGATGCAGACAGTCTTCTCGGACTACTTGACATCAATTAAACTTAAATGTCTCCAACCTGTTGTACCCATTGATGTCTGGGGCTCGTGTGTGCCAGTCAGACGCAACCCTTTAGTAGGACGTCTTGATTCCAGATCCGCAGTTTTCTACCTGTTTCATATCGTTGATGTCTAAAGTCGGATTCCTGTAACAATCATGAAGTTGTCCCTCAGTCCTAGTACAGAAATGTTACGTACACATCGATCTTGCGTGACAGCAGTCTTTCGAGACCTTCTCTTCCCATCCTAATCTAACCCCCACTGACACTCTGTTCATGTTCATCATTTGTGGTGGTACATACACCGTTACATTCGCTTTAATTCGGCAAACCGCGGGCAAACAGAGCACAAAATATATTACTGACATTTCACATAAAGCATAAAGTAGAGTCGCCTGTACAATTCTGATGATATCGTAAGTATGTGTTTATGATTTTTTATCAAAAAAGTAACGACACCAGGTGTTCGCGAAAAGATGAACGTATCCTGTCCCACCGGTGGCAAAAGACTAGTCTTCTGAAAGGTATCATTATCAATTCCTGTCATTGGAATGTACATACAGTGTTTACCGAATAGTAGGTATCATTTTGTTCAGTAATCAATCAGAATTTGTAGAATTCACCTTTAATGGTATGTACTTATAATTGTGATTTTATGCACATATTTAAACGGTGTATTGGTGACTTTATCTTCTGGTGTTTCCTTTAAATTCTTCACCATATCGTGACATAAATATGTCCGATTTAGGCTTTTTTAAACATTGGTGACAAGTCCTCTACGTATGACTCACAGTTGTTATGTATATGCAATCTATTATGTAGTCGTCATCGATTGACTTACAGTACAACATACATGTTTGATATGCTTAATGGACATAAGTAAACATCTAGCTGAGCATTCGTGTATGCAGCCACAAGTGCCATTGATAACATGGCCCTCGACTTAATCTATGCTGCCTGAATCTCTTCCAAACGCTGCTCATATTATGTATGAGTTTAACATTGTCGTGTTACCAGGCACAGCCTCTCAGATCGCATGTCACACAGTTATGAGCTGATAAGGCCCTGGGTAACGATCTCTTTACCGGGAAACCAGGTCACCTCAACAGATTTGACAAGTCAATATATCACAACATATGGCACGTACAGTGAAGCGTAAATATCAACTCAAGAGATTGGTGACGCGATTTCTGTTGCCCCATTTTTAACAAGCAAATGTTTGTCAATATTTGAAATTAACACAGGAAATCTGTTTCGACAAGGATTTCCTAGCTCTAAATAATCGTGCTAGGGTTTTATAATGTTTGTTGTTTAACGCCGCACTCAGCAATATTCCAGCTATATGATGGTGGTCTGTAAATAATCGAGTCTAGACGAGACAATCTAGTGATTGACATCATGAGCATCGATCCACGCAATTGGGATCGATGACATGCATCAACAAATTTAAAAAAAATGAAAAATCAACAAAGTCAGCGCGCCTGCCACCCGATCCCCTTCGTTGCCTCTTACGGCAAGCATGAGTTGCTGAAAACCTGTTCTACCCCGGATCTTTACAGGTTGGCAGAAGGCAGATTCTATGTGGAAGTTGTCTATTTATTTTATGGATAAATACAAGTACTCAAATGTTGCAGCCTCTGCTAGTCTAGTAAATGAGGATCACGTGGCGTCGTATAAGACTCCTGTTCATTTCCACTATGTGTCGGGGGCGGCCGGGTAGCCTAGTGTGAGACTCCTGTTCATTTCCACCATGTGTCGGGGGCGGCCGGGTAGCCTAGTGTGAGACTCCTGTTCATTTCCACTATGTGTCGGGGAAGGCCGGGTAGCCTTGTGTGAGACTCCTGTTCATTTCCACTATGTGTCGGGGGCGGCCGGGTAGCCTAGTGTGAGACCCCCGTTCATTTCCACTATGTGTCGGGGGCGGCCGGGTAGCCTAGTGTGAGACACCTGTTCATTTCCACTATGTCTCGGGGGTCAGCTAGCCTAGTGTGAGACTCATGTTCATTTCCACTATGTGTCGGGGACGGCCGGGTAGCCTAGTGTGAGACTCCTGTTCATTTCCACTATGTGTCGGGGGCGGCCGGGTAGCCTAGTGTGAGACCCCCGTTCATTTCCACTATGTGTCGGGGGCGGCCGGGTAGCCTAGTTTGAGACACCTGTTCATTTCCACTATGTCTCGGGGGTCAGCTAGCCTAGTGTGAGAGTCCTGTTCATTTCCACTTTGTGTCGGGGGCGGCCGGGTAGCCTAGTGTGAGACCCCCGTTCATTTCCACTATGTGTCGGGGGCGGCCGGGTAGCCTAGTTTGAGACACCTGTTCATTTCCACTATGTCTCGGGGGTCAGCTAGCCTAGTGTGAGAGTCCTGTTCATTTCCACTTTGTGTCGGGGGCGGCCGGGTAGCCTTGTGTGAGACTCATGTTCATTTCCACTATGTGTCGGGGACGGCCGGGTAGCCTAGTGTGAGACTCCTGTTCATTTCCACTATGTGTCGGGGGCGGCCGGGTAGCCTAGTGTGAGACCCCCGTTCATTTCCACTATGTGTCGGGGGCGGCCGGGTAGCCTAGTGTGAGACACCTGTTCATTTCCACTATGTCTCGGGGGTCAGCTAGCCTAGTGTGAGACTCCTGTTCATTTCCACTATGTGTCGGGGGCGGCCGGGTAGCCTAGTGTGAGATCCCTGTTCATTTCCACTATGTGTCGGGGTTGGCCGGGTAGCCTAGTGTGAGACTCCTCTTCATTTCCACTATGTGTCTAGGGCGTCCGGGTAGCCTAGTGTGAGACCCCTGTTCATTTCCACTATGTGACGGGGGCGGCCGGGTAGCCTAGTGTGAGACTCCTGTTCATTTCCACTATGTGTCGGGGAAGGCCGGGTAGCCTTGTGTTAGACTCCTGTTCATTTCCACTATGTGTCGGGGGCGGCCGGGTAGCCTAGTGTGAGACCCCCGTTCATTTCCACTATGTGTCGGGGGCGGCCGGGTAGCCTAGTGTGAGACACCTGTTCATTTCCACTATGTCTCGGGGGTCAGCTAGCCTAGTGTGAGAGTCCTGTTCATTTCCACTTTGTGTCGGGGGCGGCCGGGTAGCCTTGTGTGAGACTCATGTTCATTTCCACTATGTGTCGGGGACGGCCGGGTAGCCTAGTGTGAGACTCCTCTTCATTTCCACTATGTGTCGGGGGCGGCCGGGTAGCCTTGTGTGAGACCCCCGTTCATTTCCACTATGTGTCGGGGGCGGCCGGGTAGCCTAGTGTGAGACACCTGTTCATTTCCACTATGTCTCGGGGGTCAGCTAGCCTAGTGTGAGAGTCCTGTTCATTTCCACTTTGTGTCGGGGGCGGCCGGGTAGCCTTGTGTGAGACTCATGTTCATTTCCACTATGTGTCGGGGACGGCCGGGTAGCCTAGTGTGAGACTCCTCTTCATTTCCACTATGTGTCGGGGGCGGCCGGGTAGCCTAGTGTGAGACTCCTCTTCATTTCCACTATGTGTCGGGGGCGGCCGGGTAGCCTAGTGTGAGACTCCTGTTCATTTCCACAATGTGTCGGGGGCGGCCGGGTAGCCTAGTGTGAGACTCCTGTTCATTTCCACTATGTGTCGGGGTTGTCGGGGTTGTCCGGGTAGCCTAGTGGTTAAAGCGTTCGCTCGTCGAGTCCTTACATGGGTACAATGTGTGACGCCCATTTCTGGTGTCTCGAGCCTTGATATGGCTGGAATATTGCTTAAGCTGGCGTAAAACCATACTAACTCACTCACTCACCCACTATGTGTCGTTTTGGCATGACACAATGAGATAGGCATTAAGTATTCCTAAACACACATGTATACATACATATACATATATATACATATATATACATACATATACACACACACACATGTAGTTTGTTCTACCGTCCAGGTGAAAATGTACCAGTTATCACTTCCTTTGATTGGGAACTTAAAATCGATCAGACCCTCTCCTTTGTAAAAACATTCGTGGCTACAGAAATAGTTCCCTTACAAGAAACTAGGTATTCACATGTGTCT